CGGCCCGGCGCCGCCCACCGGCCGCGCCGCCCGGCACCAGAGCGCGCGGCCGAGGGGCGGCCTCGGACGGGCCCTCCCGGTCCTGCCTCGGCTCCCGGGAAGTTACCCGTCCAGGCGCCGCCTCTGGCGGGCCCGGCCTGCCCTCCGCGCGCTCCGGCTGCCGTCGCAATGCGGAGGCGCGAGGCGAGGCGAGGCGCGGCCGGCCTGCCTGGCCTCGAAAGCAGCTGGGGCGGACACTGCAGCGCGCGGGGAGCGGCGCGGCGCGGCGCGGCCCCTCGGCCGGGAAGCCCACCGCGCTCGGGGCCGTGGAGCGCGGCCGCTCCGGCGCTGCCCGGCAGGCCGCCCTTGAAAGGCGCTGGTCCCAAGACGAGGGGGAGCCGTTCTCCACCGGTGGCCGTGAATCTGCAGGCGCCCGGTCCTGGGATCGAGCGCGACGAGGCCCTCTCGCCAGACTCCTCGGCGGAAAAGAGGGGCGGGGGCCCCAGACCCCAGTTCTGCTTCCGACCACCCCAGATAGCAGGACGCACCATGCAGATGCCGTGTACGTGGTGGCACCTTCAGCCCAATCATTTCTTTTGAGGCTGGGCACTGCTATGTGATACCCCGAATGGCTGAAATGTGTGGAAATGATTGAAAATTTAGGCTGTGCTCGTGTTGTTACGCCAGATCATTCCTGAACACTTCTCTTACTTTCCCCATGGCAGTATAAAGGGATATAACAACTTGATTGTTGCGTCCTTTGTGAGAATAATTGTTTATCAAATTAGTGTGGGAGTTTTGCTATTACAAACCAAGGATGGTTTAAATGTACCAGGAATAAAAACCTCAATTTCTAAGGGTTAAAAACCTTTAGTTTCCCAGGACACATATTAAATCTACATTTGAGTGCCAGGAGGGGTCTATTCCAGGGTTTGCCTAGCCAGGCACCACGCCCCATGAGAAAGCACAGCCGCTTTCAGGAAAGGCCTGCATGCCAGATACCCTGTGTGCCCAATTGAGACTGGAGTCTGCCTCCAAATGCCCTCCCAGGGGGAGGCTTGGCTGGTGGCACCAAGACGGAGAGGTGTCTCTGTGGTAGCCCCCTAATTATGGAAGAAGTTCCCCACTGAGGCCCACCTGCTAACAACCCTGTCTTGGACGCCCAATTAGGAGCATCCCCTATGACAAGGCATTTAATCAGCTCCACATCAGATTTGGGGTGTCATGTCTTACAGGCCTTGTGATTTTATTTGTGTTAGCTGTTGTAGCAGTTTAAATCTGGTTTTTAAATTTTGCAGCATAATTTTACAATGTTTTTACTGTTATCTGCATTTGTATATATTTTTTTATATGCTGGTGTAAACTACCCAGAGAGCTTTGGCTATTAAGTGGTACAGAAACAAAATGAATCCTCCTCCCAAGGGGGACAGGTTCAAAATGCTGGCTGTGTAGTAGGAAGAGTGAGGGCTGGAAAGCGAGGCACAGGAGGTACAGAGAAGGTGGCAGGGGGAGAAATTAGGAAGTAAAGTAGAAGGGAAATTTGAAGGAAGGAACTGGTATGTCTGAGAATTGGAGGTACAGGCAGGTTTGAGGGTGGAGATCAGAAGAAGGGACTAAATGTATCTGCACCATACTCCTCCTAAACCATAGGGTTGTTCATTAGCAGGCACAAGAGAAACAACAGAGTCACTATTTTCTTTCCTTTAGTTTAGTAGTATGGAGTTCAAAAGTTTAGGGTTTTTGTTTATGAGAGCCAGCTTTCCCACTGTACAACAGGAGGATAGAAACACAGATTCAGTAACGATTCAGTAACTATTCATAGGCACATGAGATGATACAGATCACAATTCAGAAGTCATGGCACTTAAGCTGTGAAGTTATAAATAGTTAACTTGAAAGCTGATAGCCCATGGCTTCGAAGGAACAGCCCAGAAGCAGGTACATAGTCAGAGACTTAACTCTTAGAAATCTGGGTGCTTCCAATAGCAAAGGAGGTTTCAAAGTTGTGAAAATAGCAGGGCCAAAGAAACACAGAAGGACAGGCAAAAAACAAAAGGTGACAGGAATGGGGTCAGAATCCCAAATACAACTTTTCAGCAATTATCATGTAGAGACAAAAACAACTATTACAATGGCGAAAGAAACAGAAGAGAACAACAGAAGAGGAGTCCCCTTCCAGTAGATCCAAGAAATCAAAGGGAAATTCAAACCTAGGTGGAAGGAATATACAGAACTATACAGAAGATATTAAAAGATGACAGACTCCTTTGTGCAGAACCTTATGAAGAAGAGCCTACAATATTAGAAAGTGAAGTTAAGGCTGTTCTGAAAGCATATGCAAAGAATAAAGCACCCGGAGTAGATAAGATAGCAATAGAACTATTCCAAACTGCTGAAAACGAATCAGTCCAAATCCTAACAAAAATGTGTCAACAAATATGGAAAGCAAATCAATGAGTATGGAGAAATGGAATGGTTTCCCACGGGCCAAGGTGTCAGACAAGGGTATATTTAATTTCCCTGTCTGTTCAATTTGTATGCAGACCATAAGGAAAACTGGATTAGGATCAGAAGGAGGAGTAATCATTGGTGGAAGGCACCACAATAATTTAAGATAGATGAGAGTGAAAGAAGTGCAGAAGCATGACTGCAGCTGAATATTAAGAGAAAAAAATGACTTCAGAAGTATGGAACTTTACAAGGAAGACACTGAAACTGTGAAGGATTTTGCATACCTTGACTCAGTCATCATTAGTTCAAATGGAGACTGCAACTGAGAAATTCAAAGATGTCTGAGATTTGGAGGGGCAACAGTGAAGGGACTAGAAAAGAGCATTAAGTGAGATGGCAGTGTGGTACAGTGATTAGGAGCACAGGTCTGGGACTCAGGCAATCCAGGTTCTAGTCCTGCCCAGCCATAGTGGCAACTGGATGACTTTGGGTCAGTCAGAGCCTCTCAGCCCAACTTATCTCACAGAACAGGAGGAAGAGAGTGGTATAAGCCACTTTGGGTTCTTTAACAGAAAAAGGTGAAATATAAATCTAGTAAACAAACAAATAAAAAAGTGTGGTGACATTTTCCTGGAAACCATGTTCTGCAACTGCTGTAACTTTAGCATGGGAACACAGTCTGTGTTCATGTTCAAAGAGCCAGAAGGCTTTGCTGCATTTTTGTAGTTAGAAGGTTTATATTGCAGCTTGCCATGGAGGATCAAAGAGCCAGAAGAGACCTCAGATATCATCTAGCCCGGCACCATTCCCATAGCAAGCGCTGCACCGCAGGGTCCGTCTGTTGTCCGCTTAAATACCACCAATGAAGGTGAGTCCGCCATCTTGCAATGGGGAACAGTACTCTAAGGGGAACAGTTCCTTCTGTTACGAAGTTTCTCCCTGCAGAAAGCTGGAATCGGCTTCCTTCCACTTTCCATTCACCGATTCTTTGTCCTGCCCTCAGGAGTCTGCCCCATCTTTGCCGTATGGCCCCCTGGGTATCGCAAGGCAGCGATCGCGTCTCCCCCGGCTTCTCCTGTCAGGGCTTCGCCATGGTGCTCCATCCAGCGACTCCAGCTCTGAAGCCGCCACTGAATCCTGCGGGGGGGGGCAGAGGGGGTCTCCTGCGCGCCGCCGTCTCGGGTCCCGCTGGCAGCGCAGGCTGCACCGTCACATCCAGGCAGGCGCGAGCAGGGCCCCGGCGAGCTGCCTCTCATGCCGGCCTGTCTTGCAGGGCCGCCGTGCGAGTCGCGCGTGACGCCACTTCCGGGCACGCCCCGGGGCGCCGGAACCCGGGGGGGCGGGCTGGGCGCGCTCCGCCTGGCGCGTGCGCCGTGTGCGTGGCGGCGCCGTCGCGATCGCTCCCGCTCCCGCTGCCGTCCCTCCGGAGACATGGAGCCCTCCGCCAGCCCGCTCGAGCTGGGCTTCTCGGCGCCGACGCCCTGCCTCATCGTGGAGGACTCGCAGCCGGAGCCGGGCTCCCCCGGGAGCGCCGGCCCGCCGATCCTGCCCGGCCTCGGCGCTGTCGAGGGGGCGCAGGCCGCCCCACAAAGCGGCTCGGCGGAGCCTCGCGGAGGCCTGGCGGAGGCCGGGCCCGCCGAAGCCGCGCGCTGCCCGGGCTGGGCGCCAGTGCTCCCCAGCCCGGTCCTGGCGCAGCTGCCGCCGCCCGCCGCGCGCAGCAGCAGGTGGGTCGCCGCCGCCGCCGGGGGGGGGCAGCCCCGCCGGCGCCGGGGGGGGGCGGGCCCGCCGGGCCGCGCCGCGCAAGGCTGACTCGGGCGCGCGGCGCCTCTTGTTCTTGCAGGGCGGCGGCGGCGGACGCCCGCGAAGGCTCGCTTCAGGCCGAAGGTGAGGTGCTGCGGGCCGGGACTCGCCCTCGGGGCCGGGGGGGGCGCGGCCGCGGCGGGGGATGCCAGGCCGCTGGTCGGGCTCGCGGGGCGCCGGAGCCCCTTCCGCCCGGTTGTTCGTCGGATCAGTGCACCTCGGCCTGCGTGTTGCCGCTGGACGGGGTGCCGCCGCCGCCTGCCCCGCCCCGCCCCGCCTTCCCTTGCCAGGCGCAGGTGGCTGTGCGCACCCTAAAGACGGTGCCGGGGGTCGGGAAGGGCCGGATGCGCGCTGGAGCTGTATCCGTCCTGCCCGGGAGTTGGTTGTGGGGCCTGTTCTAGGTGAGGCTGCCCCCTCCCGACAGCAGGGCCTTAGCGGGCCTAGCGTTTCCCTCGGAAGCTCTGAATGATTATGAATACCTGTAGGGCACAGGACCAAAACACAGTGCGCTACTTCAGAGACTAAAATTATACGTGCCCATTTTTCCACAGCCTGAGAAGACAGTATTTCTTAATTCACTTGGATTATTTTGGAAAGAGCTACTTTTGCTTCATCTCACTTTATGTATAAGGGAAAGCATGTTCTTGGTTGTCAGACCACAATTATGAAAGTGAGACTGGCACTGACACCATAATTGTTCTGTGCCAGTTCAAATCTTGAGTAGCAGACATTTTAGTTGGCGCTGTCTGTGCTATTTAAATTATATTGTAGTATTAATATGAAGGGGTCTCTTCACAGGTGAATGGTAGTTTAAATGCAATGGTATGTGATGATGTTAATGACAATGATCCCCTTTGTGGATGTTAGACTCAGGCACATCACAACTGGGCTTTGGCCTAGTGCTCTCCCAGAGCCAGGATCTAGAAGGAGATGTGACAGAACCTGATGCAGGCCACCTGAAGCAGATGCAACCCCCAGTAGTTAACACTGGCTTGGAGCAAGAGGAGGAGGAACAGGACTCTAAAGATGGTGCGTTCTCTGTGCAGAGGGTCGCTTGCTTACCAGTTTGAGGCAGGATGGGATGCTGTTTGTTCATGTAAAGCATTTTATGCTGTTCTTCAGGTGAAAAAAGAGTCCCAGAGCAGGTAAATACCACTTAATAGCAGCTTTTGAGCAGAACTAGTGCTTTCAAAACAAAGGCCAGAAGTGAGTGGTAGTCCCGTTTGTGAGATTCATTTCATAAACAAGCATTTTTTGTTTATGCACCATTTCATAAACAAGCATTTCCACCAGTTTTTGATAGCTTTGGGAAGGGCAGGTTCCCATTGCCTCGTGGTAGGTCCCACTGGTGTGCAGATAGTATTGGATGCTAGCCCATGCTTCTCTTATCAGTATACAGGCTTTTTGCATAAGGAATACACAACAGTTTCTAAATAAATGAGCATGATTTGTTGATTCTCCCTCAGCACTTTCTGTTTTGGGGGGCATTGCAGTAATACTGATTACTGGCATTTCTTTCCCTGTGAAAGCAACAGAAGAGGGGCCCATTCAGTTGCGTATAAGCAGATTTCAGAGGATGAAAATGCTAGGTAAATAATAAACCATTTTAAAAGAAATTATTTTTAGAGTTTGGCCAAGTTATACTGTGGGGGAATACAGTAAGTTGTTTCACCAGTCCAACATATCCATCTTCTTTAGTAAAATGCTGATTATTCTGGATAGGCAAAGTTGTTTTCTCCCTCTGGAATTGTACCCTTCCAAACAATATGTTTTGAGGAGTTCAGAGGAATTGTTTTTAGTCTTTGCACGGCACGACTACCCTTTCCAGAAACGTCCAAACAAATATCAATTGGCTGAGGCCTGGAACCCTGCTCTCTGTTCATTAAAGCATCTTTTAAGAAAGGAAGTTGATGGAGAGCATGGGGTATACCATGCTTTAGGTATTAGCTGGATAATGTGCTTTATAGACACAACTGGAGGGTTTTCATTTTTCTGTCATTATTCTCTCAAAAATATAGCAGAAATACTATACATATTTTACTTACCTAATACAGACTTTATAATTAAAAAGATGTTCTGTCTAATGTCTCTGAGTACATTGCAGTTGGGAAAGGCGTTCCATCAAGTATTGTGGTCCCAAGCTTGAATGGGCTTGGAAGTATTTAGGGAGCCAGTGCAAGTGACCCAAAATAGGTGTTGTTTGTTTGGATCTTCTGGTTCCTTGTATTAATGTGGCTGCTTCATTTTGTCCAAGCTGTAGCTTCTGAACAGTCTTCAAGGGCTGCCCCACATAGAGTCCACTGCAGTAATCTACTGTAGAGATGACCAAAGCATTGATTACTGAAACCAGGAAGATCTTCTTAAGGTTCAGCTGGAATCTGGCTTCCCATAATTTGAACCCATAAACTTTGACCATACCCTTTCTTAAAGAGGCATTGATTATTTCCCTGGTGCAGCTACCTTTCCCTCCCTGCTAGCTTCTATTAGTCAAGAGGGGCAAGCATCCAGTATGGACACAATAGCACGTACCTGTCCAAGCTCCTTGTCAACATGCTCATTCGCTGTACTCTGAAGATCTCACCTGACTGATCTGCAATAACAGTGGAATCTAAATCCTGGCAGTTGCAAGAGGTTTTATCCTGGAAGTGCCTAGCAAATACACTGTAGCAGGCCTTAGATGTCCATGGGACCATTATGCAGTAGGCCTCAGATGATCCTAGAAAGCGATGCTGGCAGCAAAGAGGATTGACTAGAGCATGGGTCCTCAAACTTGCTGGGGGCGCATGCGCAGCTTGCTCATGTTTTGGACTAGCTCGGAGAAAACGATCTCCTCACAAGCAAGCTGGCGTCTCGCCCCATGCACCCCCCCATCCCTGCCTCGTGTGCACATGTGTGTGCCCCGCTCCTTCACCGGCCCGCCCCCCCGCCCCCGCCAGCACCGCCTTGGCGGCCCGCGCCCACCATTGGCACCTGTCAACTGGCCTCCTTTAGAAAAAGTTTGAGGACCCCGGACTGGAGGTTAGTAAAATACTGTTTTTTGCCACCCTCACTGCCATGAAATGTATCTGCTTATAGGCACTTGATTGCATCCTCTAGGAACTTCCCTCCATCTGCTTTAAAGCCATCTCCTTGTTTTGTTTCATTACTTTCAGGAAACGGTGCGGTCATTACCTGCCTGGGTTGTGATGCCCTTACCTGACTAGTATGCCGTGTATCACCATTTGTCTTATGTTAGGCTAACTCAGAGCTCCCACAATAGTGTGTCCACTTTTTAGTTTTTTAGAACCCCTTTTCAGCCAAGATGGTAAACATGCAAACTCAAGTACAACAAAAGTGGTTGATGTTCAAGCAATGGAGTCTATGTTTATTTACATCCTTAAGGTGAAAGGTGTGACGGTGGTGTAGAGGTGTAGATTAATTTTTAAGAGGGATACAGATAGCTCCAGGTCTGGGCGAAGGTCTAGGCAATGGGTGAAGACAAGCACCAGTTCCTGATTATTTTTCTGTTTATACCTACAGTTGAAGATGTAACAGCACAGTGTGAAGAGGCAAGATCGGAGAATGCCTGTTCTGAAACGTAAATATTTACTTGATCAATTGTTAAGTCTGAGTCAGCAGAAGAGACCAAAACATCTTGGCCTCAATGACAAGGTGTTGCGGCAAAAAGCAAATAAAGCATGCACGTGCATTCAATACTTGTCTGAGGAAGATAGGTCTGAGGATTATAGCTCCCAGGATTATAGCTTTATCTGATGAGTCTGGATCTGTCTGACCTTAGAAAGTGTTCCTAGAATAACTGCTTTTCATTCTCAACAGTACCAGCTTGGTTAATGAGCAGTTTCAAGGGAGTTACTGGAGAGTAGGTGGCTTCCTACAGAAGTGGTAGTATTGGAAAAAATGATTTTGAGTTTACTACTAATTCTTGTACACTGTTCTGAGAGCTAGTTGCTGACTGAATGGTTTATAAAAGCTTTCAGTAAATAAACAAATAACACAAAGACCAACAAAAAACCAGAAGCAGGAAACCACTTGGGAAAGTGATCGGTCAGTTGCATGATAATGGAGTTAAAGGTATGCTGAAGAAAGATTAGGAAATTGCAAGAAAGCTGAATGAAATGTTTGGCTCTGACTACACCATTTAAGTTAGATAGCTGTATCATACACAAGAAAGGAGTTTGAGGTAGTGATGTGCATAGCTATGACAAGAGATGACATTCTGGACCTAATTGGGAAATTGAAAACAATCACATCAACAGATGCAGGTGGTGTCCATCTGAAAGTTTGTAAGGGTCTTTCCACGGGGAAGGATCAAGCCATCCTTGGTTACTCCTCAGAACGTCTAGACAGCGCCTCCGTGTCAGAGGCAGCCTGCCTCCGGGTGCCAGCTTCTAGGAGGACAAGTGGAAGGGGTTGTCCTCGCAGGCTCCTCATGGGAGTCTGGTCTGGACTAGACCTGCCTTCACTTGCTGGCAAAGGTACTGCGTGGCCTGTTGACTCACTGGGAGATTCCTAGCTTACGTTCATGCTGTGCTGTATGTGCCACTCATGCTGCTGTTCCCAGGTCAGAGGCTGTGACCAGCGCCTTCCCTAGAACTCCACAGTTTCATAAAGGACCTGCCAGAAGCCCACCTTCCCCCTGCCATCCTGATAGAATCCCAGAAGTGAAGGATCCCGCAAGCTGGCATTCACAGGATCCTGAGTTCTTATCTACTCAGGAGGATATGTTTGGCCAGAGCAGCGCAACAGGTGAAGACGGACTGCATGACGCTGTGATGTCTGCCTTTTGTTTCCTACAGATAGAAGGAGAATGGCTTGCTGCAGTTTTACTCTTCTAGATATTCATGGAACAATGAATGTTGTTCCTTGAGAGAATTTAGTCATTCATACAGGCTTTCTGTGCAAGCCAAAAGATGGGTGGGTTGAAGAGGGAAAAGGTGGAATTCGGTGATGCTGATGAAGTCATTTTTTACCCAAATATGTTTCAGAATATCCATCCACACATCCCTCTTAATGCTGTTCTTGCTACTGTTGCATATATTTGTTTTTAATACCGCAATTTTCACCTCTTCTGCTCATGCCTTTGACTTTCATTATCTAGTAAAATGGATCGCCAGTGCTGAATGAAGTCACACGGGGCATTGAGAATCTGCTTTGGCTTCTTAATGGCTATTTCATCAGTGGTGCTATTGACTCTCTTAAAGCATCTTGAGAGTTCAGGGTTGCAGGAAAATCAGCTACCCACCACCAGAGCGTCTTAGCAATGTTGTGCAGCAGGAAGCAGTCCTCTGTTGTGGTCTCCAGGCACCTCACGTGGGGCAGTATGCCTGGGCAGAGCCTGATCTTCCAATGAGTTCATAGCTGAGAGATTTTGGTGGGAATTCCTCCTCTACCCTAGTAATTGGTCTCTATAGGAGGCGTTCCTCCTGTTCCTTCAGTTTTTCTTTGACCGTCTTTTCTGATGCCTCAGGAAGTTCTTGAGCTCTATTTGTCTTTGTCTCTCTTTATTTTTTCTCCTTGAAAATCTTACTCCATCTACCCACTTACTTTTTTCCATTCTGTGTTCTAGTTTGCTAGTCTGTCGCCCATTTACCTTCCTTCCTTCCACCAACTGCCCCCCCCCCCGGTCCTCTCATGCCCTCTGCCCATGTCCACCATATTCTTTTGTTTCCTGCTTTCCTCTTAGATTTCTGATGGCATTCAAAGTGTCTTCAAAAATGTACGAGGTGGAGCAGCAAACTCCCATCCTCTCTGACTGTTTTGCCTGGATGAGGGGCACCTTGCCAGTTCATACCCTCGTGGCCAGGCCCTCACTTTGCCCTGCCCTACCTGTCTTACCCTGCCTGGCTTTCTTACCCTGCCTGCCATGCCTTCTTGTTCCTGAATCCTGCCTGCTATCCTGTCCCAAGGTACCTACTGCTTGCTTTAACATCTTACTGGCCTTGCCCAGGAGCATCTGGTTCCTGACCTGGACCTGCTGTACGTCGGTGACTTGGACTTCTGTATCAGGAGTTGGGGAGTGTATCTGACTGTACCTCCTGCTCAGCAGTTGTCCCATCTCCTTTCTCTCCCTAGGCAGCTGCAGGCACCTGAGACCCTGTCCTTTCATTATATTAACTATATTGTTGTGGATATCAGTAATGCCACTGTATTTGTATACATTGTAATGTAATAAAATTTCTGTGAAAAGAGAAGAAAGGACACCCTCTGTCACCTCAGAGAGTGACTAGCACGTGAGTGGAGCAGACCATTTTCCTGGCTTACGAGCTACTAGTCTATAGCTCTCTGTGCGACCGAGAGTGGTTGTCTGTGCATTTACGCAGCCCACCCTCTGGCCCCTCTTCAGTGTCATCCTAATCCTACTTTCCTGTACTGAGACTGGGCTAGACTAAGGTTGAGGTCAGTCACAAAGGCAGTCTTGAAGGAATTAAGGGAATGCGTGGAAATGCTGATGTACCAAGCGCTGGAGTGGGGAGGAGTTTCTGCCAAAACTCTCGGCTATGAAATCTTCCTGACATCTGGCTTTACGGTGGCACGGAGCCCAAACCTGTGAGTGCAAGATGACTACTTGGAGAGTGACAGTTGCGCGTAAGCAGCCTGCCTTTTTTCTAGACGTGGAGATTGCACCAGACAGAGGTGCTCCTCAGGTTTAAGCAGGTGCAACAGGATGTGTGAGTTACCTTAAGGTTTAGAGAGAAGACAACTGAAGCCAGGATACACATGTCTAAGGCAGATAAAGTGTCTTGTGGATTGCTTGATGAAAGTGTATAGTAGCTCTCCTATTGAATTTTGCTAACCTCTTGTTTTGAATTGTTGTAGAGGGTTGCAGTGTTACCTCCAGAGAGGAAGAAGAAAGTTCTTCGGTATCTACGCCTGCTGATCCCCTACATGTTCTTCATCTCTCTGGACAGGGCCCGCCTTCCACGTAAGCGAGCAATTTGCTTAGATTGCTGGTGTTACCTACCCCGCAAAGTCACTGATGCTTCACCTCCAAAAGCCTCGCCTCTTGACTTCACGAACAGAGTCAGTTGCACAATTCTTTATCCATGTAGTGATGGCCTTCTTAAATGTATCTGCCCTTTGGAAGAATTGTTCCTTGGCAGGTCGGGGGTGGGGGCTGCTTTCCTTCTGCGCTCCTTGACGCTGGTTACGTTTCTTCTATTCCCTTTCTTTGCATTTCTCAAAGAGAAGCCCTTGTTATTCTTAAGGAGATACAGCATTTAAGCTGCATGGAGGCCAGATCTGTTTTCATATCTCTGCCGTTAATTTGCACAGATAGATTTGCTCAAGTGGAAGTTACTTTTCTGCTGTGAAGTTGTGCAGACAAAAGGAGCGGCCTATTTTCTATCTTTCTGATTACTTTACCTCATAGGTGTCCTTCAGCTCATGCTGCATCATCTCCTGGGGTCTTTCAACCTGTGCCTCTCATCATTCCAAGAAGTCCAACAAACGAGGAAGCAGAAGGTATCTCATCCTGTGTGCTGGGAACTGTTGGTTGGCCAAGTCTTAGTATTAACTGTGGGAGCTCAGTAATGAAGATACTCTCATTCCTTTCCTCTTAGTTCTTAGGGAGGCATGCCCTTTTCTTGAGAGCTGAAATAGAAGTGTAGAGACCCAGTCAGCACCATATTCATGGACTAGTAGAGTTGGGAGGAGCGTATAGGGTCACTGAGTCCACCCATTTGCCCGATGCAGGACCCCCCTCTTTTCCCTGTGGGATATCCCAGCAGTGGGAATAACTCGGCCCTCTTAGCGGAGGAGGCAATCTTCTGCTCTCCCATTATCCTCTGTTGCAGCAGGAAAGCAGGAAGAGGACTCCGTGGCAAGCTGTGCTCCAGGACAGGTGCAGGCACCCGCAGCTGTCTTTCAGGAGGCGCCAGCGTTTGCGCCAACACTGATCGTACCATCACAACCCGAGTTTTCCCATGTGAGTAGTCAGAAGGTGCTCAGCACAGAGACTGGCTTCTTGGGGGGCTATTTTGGGATGCATGTAGGTCATGGGGGGCACAACCTTGGCAGTTCAGGGATCTTGTCTGAGCTCAGATGTGGATCTTTACAATCCAGTGAGTCAAAGTATGACCAGTGTAAGAGATTTGACAGATTCAGTAATCGAATGAAACTAATCAATTAGTTAATTGGCATACAATGCCTAAAAATAATACCGTCACTTAGGAAAAATAGAAACTTGGATAGATATCACTAGCTAAAATATATCAATGCTCAGAGAAGGTAACAAGAAAATATAAATGATTAAGAATGACATAAGAATGCTATTGAATGGTATTAGCAAATAAATAAATAAATAATCAAAGCAATTCAAATAGTAATCTTAGCCCTATAGCATTCTCCAATCCGTGGCTTGAATATTATTAGACTATCCTGATGTGATAGTGAAAGTCATACCTACCAATTTAGTGTAGATATCTGCTGCATGTTGCTTCCCCTTTGGCGTGTTAGTAGATATGAACTGTTCTTTTTTAACTAACCTTTTATTGTAAGTTTCAATAAAGCAAGAACAAAATGCAAAACAATTGAGTCAGCAGTGTGATGTGGTTGTTAAGAGGGCAAACACCACCCTTGGTTGCTTAGCCAGAAGTGTGGCTTCTAGATCAAGAGAGGGATTACTACCACTCTATACGACTCTGGTGCGCGCACAACTGGAGTATTGTGTTCAGTTTTGAGCCCCTCCTTACAGGAAGGATATAGCCAGGTTTAGGTCAGTGCCACAAAGTTGGTGGCCGGTTTGCAGGGGATGCCACTGAGGGCTAGACTGAGGGAACTGGGTCTCTTCAGCCTGGAGAAGAGGAGATTCAGAGGGGATCTGTTGGCGACATGCAGGTATGTGAGGGGTTGTCACATGGAGGTGGGTAGAGACCTGTTTTCCCCTGCAGAGGAAGGCAGGACGCGCTCCAAGGGAGCCAAGCTCAGGGAACCCAGGTACCATTTAGATGCCAGGAAGCATTTCCTGACATTTAGGACCCCGAGGGTATGGAATGGGCTTCCACAGGAGGTGGTTGAGGGTGAGGGTGTTCAAAGATAGGCTAGACATGCACATGGTGGGCATGTCATGAGCGGAGCTGTCTGGAGCCAGGGGTCAGACTAGATGGCCTAGGAGGCCCCTTCTGTTTCTATGTTTGTAATATGGAGTATTACAGTTTTCTTACGTTAGATCTGCACAGTTCATTAAGTTATATAGATATGTAGCACGTACACAAGGGAATACCCCCCAAAAACAGGAATTTATTTAAAACGTGGGTATTTATTTTTACATATTCAGTACAACTTCAATAACCTTCAGAGTATTCTCTGATGCGATTCACCAATTGAGATGTTTTTTCCACTGCTCAAAACAGGTTTTGAGCTCATCGATTTTGATGCCTTTTAGTGCTTCTGCTGTTTTTAGTTGCACCTTTTACACATCGGCAAAATGGTTCCCTTTGAGGACTTTTTTCATCTGGGGAAACAAAAAAAAGTCACATAGGTGAGGTTGGGTGAATAGGGAGGGTGGGACACAGGGGCCATCCCGTTTTTGGTCAGAAACTGCTGAACACTCAGCTGAACAAAATGTCATCACCGCACATCGTTCGTGCAAATCAGCCATCGTGTATCGGCAAACATGTTGAAAAAGTCTCCCAAAAACCTCAGTGAACCCAAACGCAGCCTCTCACGGCGACCCAGCTGGGTGCACGGATGCAGATGGGTTGCTGTGCCTCCTGGTAATTTTGTGCAGTTGGAGAAATGGCAAACTGACCCTCATGATTGCTCATCCATTTACTTAAGGGTAAAGCAATTTGGTCCTTAAAATGTTTTTGTAGGAGGCTTAGGTGATCATTCGGCCTTGTATCAGCAGCTCGCTTAGCCTCCCATTAACAGACTATGAATTAATTGTGCCCTCATTATTTTAAGACTATTCATGTACCTTGGCAAAAATTTAATTTTTAAAATGCTTTTTATTTAACAAAGAAATAGTAAAATGCCAGAGACTAGTACACCTTGGTGAATTTGTAAATTGCAAGTCCAAAGGAATGGGAACATGATCTAAAATTACTAACTTTAAATCTTACAGTATTTACTTAAGTATTAATCTTTATTTTGATTTTTATATACCACCGCATTCCGTTAGGTTCTGGGCAGTTTACAAGAGATTTAAGCCAACAGCAATTAAAAAAGCAAGCATAATATGTAAAACCAGTTGGGGAACTAATCTAGGAAGGGCTGTCAGAAGAGAGACATGTTACTGCCCTCTGAAAGGGGCAGCCTGGGTATCTGATGCATCTCTCTCTGCAGGCCACTCCATGGTTTAGGGACAACCACTGTGAAGGCCCTTTAGGTGGTAGACAGAGGTAAGCTTCAGAAGATTATCTCCAGAGGCCTCAGTGGGTGAGGCAGAATGTGTGGTGCCCCGGAAGGTATTTTGGAGCTGAGACAGGAAGGGCTTTAAAGGTAATTGCCAGCACCTTGTACTGCATCTGGAATCATGCTGGCTTCCAGTACAGAGACTTTAGTCCTCCTGGCCTGTGCCAGGCTCTGTACCTGTAAGTGAGGGTGGCGGTAGCAGGCCTGGAGCATTTACATTCTGGACTGGCTTTTCTTTTTCTTGTTTCAGGATACCTTTCTCCCAACCCTGAGCTTGGAGGAAAGGACCAAGGCACAAGCAGAGAAAGGGGACCTTTCTGATGCTCGCCTGCCATCAGATGGCTCTCAGGTGCCCGAGGCAGCAGCGGTGGCCCCTTTCACGCAGGCCGTTTCTCCATTGCACTCGGGCGAGGCATGTGCTTTGGCACTGTCTGCGAGTGGATACAGCCAGTCCACGGAAGGGGAGGCTAGGGTGGCACATCCTGAGCAACTGACGGCAGCACCTCGCGGGGCCTCGGCGGAGAAGCTCTGCTCGGCTGACCACTGTGACAGGCAGCAGTTCGGTGAAGACCGCCGGTCCACGTCTGGGCAGCCAGCAACAGGTGCCTTCAGTCGCCAGGCTGGAGCGAGCGAGACCCTCAGAAATGAGGATGAGCTGCTGGCCAAGAGAGCCTCGCGGCCAGACTGCACAGCCGTTCCAGAGACGCCTCGTGAGGAACAAGAAGAAGCTACGTTGCCAAGCGGTGAAGAGTCTTCCTTTCACCTGCTGCGTTCTCAGGACAGAGCGGCAGTGCAGCAGATGGAACCGTGTGCAGCCAGGAGGGAAACTCAAGACGTGCCCCAGGAATCTGGAGAGCCAGTACCCGTGGAGCCCGCAAGCCTGCAGGGCGACTCCAGGGGCGATGCAGCGGAGGCCAGTCTGGAAGGGCACAGCAGGTCCCCGAGGGCCAGTCCTGCAGTGGTGCTGGAGCTGCCTGAGACCCAGCCCGAGTGGGAGTGCAGCAGGCGCCAGCAGCGGATGGGGCAGGGAAGCTGGCCCACGGGCGGGGAAGCAGTCTGGCCGGAGAAGAGCCCGCCTCTGCTGCCCTCGGGAGGAGAGGCAGATTCGCTGAGGGCGCTGGAGAAGAGGCACGCGGTGCTGCAGCAGCAGGGCGAGGCGGGGCCAGGCCCCCTTCGAGGGAGGCCGCCGATCCCCGGAAGCGAAGCAGCCGTGCCGGGGAGCCTGCCTATGTCTTACAAGGGAGGAGCGACCGTGCGCCAGGCGGCCCGTCTGGGGGCCGCGGAGAACCAGGGGGAGAGACCGCAGCAGCCAGTGGGGCTGCGGGGAGAGGCGCTGCTCTGCCAAGGGGCCCCTCCCACAGTGGCCGGCTTGCCCACGGGTGAGTTTCCTGGATCTGCCGGGGCCGGGGGTGCCGTAAGTGGGGCAACTGAGGCTTTTCCTCTGTCAGCCGTTTCTGTGACGCAGGACTGGGCAACACTGGGGTTGCCTGCCCCCCAGCTGCCAGTGCTGACTTGGTGGGGGTGGCAAAAAGGGTGGCTTTTGCTATAGATGAGGTGGGTGGGGAGCTGTCTTCCACCTCCTCACAGGCCGAGCCGCCAGCGTGGCAGCATGCAGGGATCCAGACAGGCCCTGGCTGCTGCCCAGTCCCCTCTGTGCCTGCCCAGGGCTTGTGGGGCGGCGGCTGCTGTGCTCAGAGTGCCCAAGAGCCAAGTGTGGCGAACTCCTGTGCTGAGCTCACCCTTGCTTGTGTCTTGCTACAGAAAGCCCCCGTCTTTTCCCCTTGGTGAAGGAGCGGGGTGATGCTCAGCCCTTGACAACCACCACTCCGCCTTTCATTGATCAGCTCAAGAAAGGGCCGAGACGACACAGCACTCCTATTGGTAGGTGGGAGATGAGGTCATGTCCTGTGCACCTCTGCTTTCCTTGGGAAAGGTGAGGGCTATAAGCTGGATGGCGGAGCACAGAGTTTCTGGGTGGAGGGAATGGAGCAGCTCCAAGAGAGATGCTTCTGCTAGCTGGCAGCTTGAAAACCAGCCCAAAGCCAGCTCGAACTTCCAAAGGTGGTGAAAAGAGCCCATCTTGGATTTGAAGCACTGCAGGATTAGGGGCCAAAGCATTTGCTGCCGCTGCTGCAGGGCCTAAGCCTGCTTCAGGGATGGGGAGATGCCTTCAGCGTTGTGAGAAACGGGGATGGCCACGGTGACAGCGGCACCCGCCTTTTCTTGCAGTGGCTGGAAGTTGTCCAGACAGCACCATCACAACCAGTGATGTCACAGCAGAGGACGCCGGTGACGGCACCGTGGAGAGCACTTTGGCTTCTGCCGAGATGGAGGAGGAGGCTCACGGGGGGAGGCTCGCGGTTGCTCGGGAGGAGGAAGGGAAGCTCTCGCTGCGGATGAGCCTCGTCATGCCTGTTTCTGAGGAGAGTGACGAGTCTGTGCCCTTCAGCCTGGAGAGTAAGTGCGTGCCTGTGGAGGAGGCCTCACTTTCCCGGGAACATTGCTCCAAAGAGAGCTGTTTTTGTCTTTGACCAGCAACCCCTTCATTCTCATGATACTTTTTTGCTGCCTGGGGCAGGGCGGGGGGAGCTGGGGAAACTTGGATTTGAAGGGCTTGTTGGGACAAGTAAGGTTGCTTGCCCATGAGAATGATTGAACGTAACCTCTCCCCAAACACATGGAGCTCCTGAGCTTGAGCAGTTTGAGGAGACCACCTGCTAAGGAAATGAGAAGGGGGCAAGTCTGCCCAATGACTCTGTTCCAGGGCTGAAGGAGGGCAGTGGGTGGAGGGCAGGTGCATCAACTGCCTCCTTATGCCCCTGTTCTTGCTCCTCAGAGCCTGCAGTCAGTGAGAAGAGCCCCGTCACAAGAACTTTTTCCAGGTAACGGATGCTTCTGGTATTTAATAAAAAGTGCCTCGTGGTAGAGATGGCAAAGATCATGCAGTGGGAAGGGCCTTCACTGCCATCTTCCTACCGAACAATGTAGGTCTGTTCTATTAGACTCCCAGGATCTCTGCATGTCTTGGGGAAGATAACCTGTTTTGGGAAAGGATGAAGGGTTGCAGCCAAGCAGAGGGGGAAGGGGCGCAGCCTCCGCCTCAGGACCGAGGCATGCAGGAAGGGAGGGGAAGGCGATGTGGTTGGGAACCTTGGTTGACCGAAAGGGCTCTTAGCCGCAGGTTTTCTCGACCCTGGAGAGACCTGCTGGAGCTGGTCCACTGCAGCTGTTGTATAGCAGGAGCCCTGCAGGAATGGAACCTGGCCCCCACCGCCAGTTGAGCCAGAGCTTTTGCATGTGCCTGGGTTGTTTGTGAGTCCCCGAATCCTGGCCAAGTTGCCTGGCTGTGGGCACTGCTTCTCATATGGGATGGAATGATTCCCTCTAAATCTTGTTCATGTTTGCCTGCAGCTCTCGAAAGATGACATCTGTGTTTTCTCATGTCTGTGAAGCCCAGCATGAAGACAAGGGCCAAGATCCTGAGCTCTCTCATTTATCATTGAGGCAAGTCTGCAGATGGCTGCCTGGGCAAGGCCTTTGGTTGCCTCTTTGTGCTCCTTGCAGCTTCCCCATCGTTCACTCCATGCGTACGACCTGCTTATACTAAAGGACTTTGTGAGCGGTGTACAAAAATGGCTTTGTACAGAAGGCAAAATTACCCTCTTGGGAATACTGGCTGGAAAAGATATGTTTTTAGTAGGTGCTGAAAATCCAGATGGGTTGTTTATGGGCAGATCGTAATGCGAAATATGGAACTCCAGACTCAACCCTGAGTGGGCTATTTGGGAAGAGGTCAAGGGGAAGTTAGGGGTAAAGTGGAAATTATAAACAAAATTATAAACCAGCCCATTTCTAAGCCAAAGTTAGCTTTTCGGGATGGATGGAAATACACTTTTCTCTCAACAACTGGTGGCAAGTTGCCCAAATGGCGAGAGATGGTTTAGTCCCAAGTCATGATTAGAACATGAATGCTGCTGGATGCGAATTTTATTTTTAATGCAGCCACCCCCTGAAAGTCGAACCTCAGAAGAGCTCCGCCGAAGGGAGCGAGTGCTACGAGTAGCGATGCGCTGTTGCCCTTGTCCTGCTTCAGACAAATAGTTCTTGCGGTGTGGCCGGCGGGGACCTGGGTGGTGGTGCAGGGAGCAAGTGGGGAACGGGGAGGGGAAGGGCAGGCGGTGCACCGGCAGGCTTTGCTGTGCGGACGCGTTGGGCTGTCGCTGGCGTTAGAAGGGGGAAGAGCCCCTTCCCTGCTGCTCCTGCAGCAAAGGTGAGCGGGTGCCGTTCGCAGGCAAACAGCTAAGTGTGGATCACTGGAAACCGGCCGGAGGCCAGCAGCGGAGGTGGCACGCCTGTTCCACGGTGCTGCTTCGGATTGCTGCGTGTGAGCAGTTGCTTTCAGAGAAGACTGAGCAGTCCTGGAAGAGAGGTCTGTGCATGCTGAATAATGCTAGCGGAGTACCTTTTTACTCGGAGAGCTAATTGCGGGGGCTCAACAGTGAAAGGCCAGCACCTCCATGCTCTGCTGCACACCTCTTCAACAGCCCGCTGCTTGCTAGTGGAAACAGGATGCTGGACTATGTGGTTGTTGTTTGGCCTGATCCAGCTGGCCAGCCCTTACGTCCTTCCGATTGGTTTCAGGAGTGACCCGTTTGATTTCCCACCTTCGAAGGAGGAAGAGGAGGAGGAGAAGCTGCCAGCTGGAACTGTGCAGAGCCGAGAGAGGCCTGCGTCATCGGATTGCAAACCTGTTGGGGACTCCGGGCTGAGTGCGGAGAGATCAGTGGGCTGCACAGAGGAGGAAGAGGCCATGGAGCTGGGCACTGTGTGGACGGCCCCAGAGAAGCCCAATTCACTTCTTACTGCAGAAGGGAGTGATCAAGGCCCCGTGGCAAAGGCTGGCTCCAGGAGCAGGGGTGTCCAGACGGGCGGAGAGCTGCTTCAGGGCCTGGCAGCCTTCATGACAGCGGCCACACAGACAACCTCTCGCAGCCAGGTAGAAGCAGGAACCAGCATGTTCGGGGTGTGGCCTGAGCAGCAGCATGCGAACGTGCAAACAGAAGACCCCGCCTGGAAGCCGGTAAGTTCTCCTGGGAATGCCGCAGAAGCCTTGCCCGAGCCAGTGAGCGGAGGCTGGGCCTAGGTTGCCCACGGGAGGAGGAGCAGGGTGCCTTTCTGGAGGCACACTCTCTGTGGCCGGCCTGGCCCCAGCTCCCTGTGCAATTGCTGTGGTGGCTGAGCCAGTACTACTGGCACTGTGTCATTATAAAGTTTTAAAACAAATTAGTAAACTCTAGGAATTTATTACGCCAGTATGTTCTTTTGAAGCAAAGGTGGCAGAATAAAGCACATGGATTTGAAATCCAACAATAAGCTCACGCCTGGAGGCTTATGCAGTCTTAGGTGCATTTCTGCTGAATGCAGGATTCTGTGGACCTGCTTACCATGTTGCTGCAATTGCAGCATCACATTCCAAAATGGGCAGTGCTCAGAATGTTCTCCTTCCCATCTAGGAGTGCTATAATTTTGGTACAAATTAGGTTCGATGAAGCATTTTACTAGACATAACTCACCTAGCATATCTTGAACACTGACTGAGGCTTACTGGGTTATTCTTCTGTGTGAATCTGTTGGGATTTCTCTTTTCTTCAGAGTGGGGAAGAATTTGATTTGCCTCACCCACCTGCAGGCAGAGTTCTGCGGCGTCATATGCGAACAATTCGTGAAGTGCGCACTGTTGTGACACGGGTCATCACAGATGTCTACTACAAGGATGGGGTAGAAGTGGATCGCAGGGTGGTTGAGGTAAGGCGCCCTCCTGACAGCCTCCCGGTGAGGATTTCTACACGTTGAACGTTCCTTCTGCCACGGTGCCAGCGATGACAAATGCTTAGAATTGCTACTCCTTGAGAACCTTATTTGGTGCTCCGATCAAACATTGGTGCTGCCATATTTCAGTGTTTTGAGGTGGTCCTCATTCAGAGGTGGCAGTGCCACATCTGGCTTTGAAGTGGAAGAGCTGGGCTGCTGTTCACTCCTCCCTTTTTGAGACAAACCTGCACACACACCCAGGGATGGAGAGAGGCGGCTGTCTAGGCCCGACACTGCTGCTTAGTTCTTTCCTCTGCTTTGGACTAGGAAAGAGATCTGCCCTTCATATCCTGCCTTCTTGGGTTTTATCCTCTCTCTTGCAGCTGCTTATCCATATTCTCTCACCAAAAATACTAAAATCTCTGTGTTCTGTTAATCATCCTTTTCTCTTTACTGCTGTTCCTCTTCTCTTGTTACTCATGGCTCTGGGGGAAATGAACTTTTCCTCCCTTGTCACTAGCCCCCCCCCCCACTGATCAACAAATCAGGTGCAGAAACAAAGGGGAAACTGCTCTAGCCACTGAAGGCACTCTTGCAGGGAGCACCCACATTGGGCCAAGTAAGGAGCCACATCCTGCTGGACCCTGTCCAGCTGTACCTTGGATGCCTCTAGTGTGGGAGAGCCCTCCTTAGGTCATTCATACTGCTCTGGAATTTTTTGCTAATCTCTAACCGGAATCTGGCTTCCTGTAACCTGCTATTCTGTGTTTTGCAGTCTGGGATGGTCGAGAAGAGATCCTGTCCTTCCTCTGTGTGACGACCTCTTAAGCACCTGTAGAGAGCTATCATGTCTCCCTTCAGTCTTCTCTTCCCAAGGCTAAACTTGCCCGGTTCTTTCAGCCTCTCTGTATAGGGCTTTGTTTCCAGTCCCTGGACCATCCTTGTTGCCCTCCTCTGAACCATTTCATCAGGCTTCCATGTAGCCCGGAGTACCTGACCCTGCTCAATCTTGGAAGCTAAGCAGGGTCAGGCCTGGTTGGAATCTGGGTTGCTGACCTGAGTACATGATTCTGTGATTATCGTTGTAAACCTTCCAGAGAGCTTCAGCTACAGGCGGTATAGAGATGCAATAATAATGATTTCCAGCTTGTCTGCATCTTTCCTAAACAGTGCTGCCCAGAACTAGGTGCAGTACTCCGGATCAGCCCTAATCAGTGCTGAGTAAAGAGGAACACGATGATACCTGGCATGATGTGGAAATGATACTTCTGTTAATGCAGCCCAAAATAGCACCTGCCCTTTCTGCAGCCACATCACACGGCTGACCCAAATTCCTCTTGGGAGCTACGACAGCTCCAAGATCCTTCTCACTTGCAGTATCATTGAGCCATCTTGTAGCAATGCGTTTGGTTTCTTTTTCCTAGGTGCAGAACTTGGCACTTGTCCCTGTTGAATGACATTCTGTTATTTTCAGCCTGGTGCTCCACCCTATCAAGATTACCTTGACTCTTTCTGTCTTCTAGGGTATTAGCTCTTCCAACCTATTATAGTCATCTGCAGATTTGATAATCATTCCCTGCGCTTCCTCATTCCAAATAATTAATAAACATGCTGAAGAGCACTGGGCCTGACTGAACCCTGTGGCACCCCGCTTGTTGCTTCCTCCAGTTGGAGAAGGTGCCATTGATGAGCACGGTTTGATTCCGCTTCTGCAGCCAGCTGTGCAACCTGACAGTTGTTTGATCTAGCTCTCTTGTAGCTAGTTAAAAGTGACAGCTAGGCTATCATTTGGCACTTTGTCAAAAGCTTTGCTCAAGTCAAGCTATACTATTCCCACAGTCCACAAGGGAGGTTGCGCAATTAAAAAATTTAGTCAGATTAGTCTGGCCGGATTTGTTCTTGAGAAATCAATGCAGAGAAATCACTGCATTGTTTTCAGGGTGTTTGCAGATAGATGCTTATAATCTACTCCAGAGTTTTCCCAGGGATTGATATCAGACTTACTGGTGTGTAGCTCCCAGGTTCTTTCTTTCCTTTCTTGAAGACGGGGACAGCCTTAGCCCTTCTTCGGTCACCAGGCACTTCCTTGTCCTCTCAGATTTTTTCACAGATAATAGACAGCACTTCTGAGAGTTTTTCTGCAAGCTGCTTTATGACTCCAGAAGGAGTTCACTGGGTCCTGGAGATTTCAGCCTAATGAGATGACCCTGAACAGTTTGCCTGCTGGTCTCAAGCTGCCTTCCTGCTCCTTCAGCTTGTATTTCAGGAAGGTCGTAGATCCTCCTTAGGGAGGAGATTGAGCCAAAGTGGAAATTGAGCACTTTTGTGTTTTATTTGTCGTTTGCTAGCCTTGCACCATCCACACTGAGCAGTTGAGCCCCCATTTCTTTCTGATGGCATCAGGGACCCATTTCCTGTGATTGTGCCTGAGGGCGGCCTTCTGGCTGCCCATCGCAGCCCTGGCTAATCTCCGCTCGTGCCTAGCGTGAGCCCTCCTGGTGCCACCCTGGCGATTCCTTGCTGCCTGCTTGCGCTGCGGTGGACTTTCAGGGGGCTTAGCGTAGCGTTGGAACTTGGACACTGCTTCTTGAGCAGCCTGCCCTGCGGGCCTGGCCTAGTCTTGCCGGAGCCGTTTGTTTCTCCCGCGTTTAACGCTGTTTCCCTTTCAGGAGAGTGAGGAGCCCGTAGTGGAATGCCAGCAGTGTGAGTTGGAGGTCTCTCCTTCCCACACAAGGAGCTCCTCGTTAGCCTCTGGAGACCTCGGAGACATCAGCTCCTTCTCATCTAAGGCCTCGGGACTCCAACATACCTCCAGTGGAGGAAGCAGCGGTCTGTTGGCTGCTCACAGTGCTGCCAGTTCTGGCCTAGGAAGTGGGCCACCCAGAGGGGGAGCTGGCCAAGGAACGGCATCTGGAGACGGCGTCTTGCTTCCTGGGAGAAAGCCAAGGTAGGCCTGGGCCTCTGGTGGTAAGTGAAAACGTGGATGGCGGATTCCTAGGCAACGCCTGGTCTGGACTTGAGGAGAGGGCATTTCATGTTCTCTGGCGTTTGAATTTGAGAGGGGAATACAGTTCCTCTTGAAAAGGGTCTTGTACTTTTCACTTTGCGGTATCTGAATGTGGATTCCAACATTTCATACTGCAGCGCCCCGTTATCCACGTGGGTCAATTCCAAGCCCCCGAGGAGGCCTGAAAATACAGATAACAGCAAACACTGTCCTGCACCCACACGCTTATTTTTTCACGATGGAAGGCAGATTTGTTCTTAGCATGCATCCTGGCAACCTCAGCATGCGGTTATCTTTTCTTGTTAAATTGAGAACTTTCACTTGAAGGAGGCACTTTACGACTTCTCTTTTGGAGCAAGGTTAACCACAGGGGTAACTGAACTGGCAGATATAGGGGTTGTGCTGTCCTGGAAGCTTCTGTTATGCTAAAATCTCACATAGAAAGCATGTAACATGCTCACTGGAGACTTGTTTTTGGTGCCATGTAGGTTCCAAATGTTTGCAAAACATTTTAAGGCCAACATTATGTAACGTTGCCTCAAACTGAGGGGAAGTTATATCAAAGTGTTCTAGTGTCTCAGCAGGAGATTTTCATGGGTATTGCAATTTAAACTCCAGGGTTAGGTTTGGTTTTGTTGTTTTGGTTTTTGGCTTTTTAAATAGGTTCATCCCCATAGCTGCATGTAATGAGCCTGTGAAAGTTCGAGACTTGCGTAGCGTCTTCAGTGACAGGGCACTGAAGAAGGGCAGTGATGTGGCCGGGGGGCTGTGCAGGGACTGAGCTGACTTTTTGTTTCCCAGCCCCAAGAAGGCGGGTGGCCAGCCCTGCTTCCCAGCCCAGATGGACCATGCACCAGTTGCCGTGTGTGAGGATGAGGAAGAGCAAGGCCTGAGCAACCAGAAGGGCTGGAGTGTCCCTCTTACTCCTCGTGGACGAGGGAGAAGAGGCCGTCCCATTTCACGGTCGACGGGAACAAGGTAGCACACTGAGGATCGGTTTGAAAATGAAGGAGCACATGCAGGAGGGTTCGGGGCTGGGCGAGCAAGAGGGACACGGGGCACTGGGAGCCCGGCAGGCTTCCCTCAGCAGTTGCTTTTCGTGATTCTGCAGGGGCGGACTGCCGGCGATGGCGGATCTTGCAGCGGCCACTTCATCTGAGGAGAAACGTTCTGCGCACCTGACAGGTCCCCGTGAGGGACGGGAGCAGGCCACCACCTCGTTGCGCCGCAGCAGCTCCCCCGAAATCCCCCTGCAAGAGCGGCTGGGCCTTTCGGAGAGCACAGAGCTCTCCTCCTCCTCCGGGAACAGCCTTGTGGGCCTCCGCGTGGTGGCCAAATGGTCTTCGAACGGCTACTTCTACTCGGGAACCATCACACAGGATGTCGGCAGCACCAAGTACAAGCTGCTCTTTGATGATGGCTATGAGTGTGACGTTCTGGGCCGAGATATCCTGCTGTGTGACCCCCTCCCCCTGGAAACAGAAGTGACCGCCCTCTCCGAAGATGAGTACTTCAGTGCAGGTAGGCCTGCCTTGTCCCGGGAGAAATCACGGTGCCCGTCGGGGCTGTGTGGGGGAAGAACTGTGTCGGGAGCAAACCCAGCAGCCTGGTGTGTGAGTTGCTCTGTCCCCGTTTGTCCCTGATGCAGGGGTGGTGAAGGGTCACCGGAAGGAGTCTGGGGAACTCTTCTACTGCATTGAGAAGGACGGGCAGCGGAAGTGGTACAGGCGGACAGCAGTCATCTTGTCCCTGGAGCAAGGCAATCGGCTCCGGGAGCAATTTGGGCTCGGCCCCTATGAGCCCCTCACTCCACTGAATAAGGCAGCGGATATCAGCCTAGGTAAGATGTCCGGAGGCGGCAGCACTGGGGCCAAGGTGGCTCTGGCTGGCTCTGGGATGAGGTGACCTCAGAGCAGCACACGTTGTCAGGGCTTCTGCCCCCTGTGCTTTCTAATGAGCAGAGCAGCCTGGAATGTTGCCTGAAAAGGTGTGTCCAGTCACCTTTCCAGTTTGTTGCTTTGCTTCTCCCGCCCTGTGGAAAAGTGGGTTTGGGGACTGTACAGGGCCGTGTCTCTGCTGGAAGGATGCAGCCCACAAAGGTAGGGGGCTGACTTGTCCTCTGCCTGGTGAGCCTAGATAACCTTGTGGAAGGAAAGCGGAAGAGACGCAACCTTGGCTCCCCAAGCACTTCCAGGAGCGCGGGACCCCTTCGCAAGCGCTCTGAAAGTCCCACAGCACCCCACAGATCGCCGCTGTCTGGCAAGAGGAAGCTGGCCATCTCTGATGAGGAGAGGTCCCCAGGCAAGCGCAGGCGACCGGCTCCTTCCAAGGCAGGCAAGTGTTGGCTTGCCCCGGCTGGGCGGCGGGGCTCTCTCTCTCACACAGCTTCCCTCTCTGGGGCTTGCTGCGTTTTTGTCTGAGTTCCCTTCGGTGGTTATCCTGGCTTCTCAGGTGACTTGGGTAAGCTGAAAAGCAAATGGCACCAAGTCATCTACCTTCTGTTGTGCGACATCCTCTTGAGATGCCCTCCGGCAATTTCAAGAAAGGCAAGGAGCACCCTAGTGCAGTATTCTGTACCTGGAAGAGATCTGGCTCTGCCGCAGTCTCCTGAGAGAAATGCCACGCTGAAACTGCTCGTGCTCCGTCGGGGCTTGCTGTGAGGAGTGTGGCCGTCACAGGCTTGTCCCTTCCTTCCTGCTCACCCTAACAGGCACCAGGGAGATGGAGGACCCACCGAGCAGCAGAGGGGACTCTGGAAATCTCCTGGCGGTTGAGGACCGGTGGGGACCTTTGCCCCTCAACAAGACCCTTTTTTTAGGCTATGCCTTCCTTCTCACAATGGCAAGCCCTGCGGATAAACTTCCCAGTTGCCGGAAAATTGCCGTGAACAACGAAGAGGAAGAAGGTGAGAGCTCCACAGCTCATGGTAGTGTGTGCTGAAGAAAAGTTGCAGAGCTGACAGTGACCAGAGAAACAAAAGCTGAAGAAGGAAGAAGGAGAGTTCAGGAAAGGGGCAGAAGGGGCAGTTAACTGAGGAAAGAAGGATCTGCTTTCACAGGACGTAGGGCGGGGGATGGGTGTTCTGGGACTCCTGCCTCAGCCGGGCCCTTTGGTTACCAGCTCAGGTGCAATCAAGAGGCACAGCTGCTGGCAGCATCCCCGGAAGGCTGCTCTGGTCCACAGGAGTGGGTGAGTCCTCCCCCCACGCTGTCTTAGGGCTTGGCCAACCCACCGGAAAGCTGGCCAGGCCCAGGAATTCGGGCAGCAAAGCCCTGGCTAGGCCTTTGTGGGAGACACCAGCCAGGGGTGCAGCCTCAGCAGTGGCTCATTGTTCCAGGCAATCCAGTCTCCCCACTCCAGCCCCATGCATAAGCCAAGACCTACCGGAGTGCTTCCTGTAAGGCCAAGAAGCCCCCTCCAGGATTGCCTTCCTCAGTTGGAAAAGGCTTCACATCTCAGATGTCTGGAGGTAGGTTGTCCCACCTGCTGTTTCCTGGAAACTGTTCAGCAAGGATGCTCCCTGGAATTTAGACAGATTCCCAGGGACAGGTTCTTCAGGATTCATCAGCTCAGGGACACCTCCAGTCACCTGAGGATGCTCACAACCATCAACCACCTGCTTCATATCTGGGGCAGAGAGAAGGTCCTTCAGAAGGAGCTGGTACAGGGAGGTCTTCTCAGTTCTCTTCACTGAGGCACAGCACAGAGGGGCCCATTCTTCCCTGGACCTCCAGAGGGTGAACTGTTACCTTGGGAAGCAGAAGTTCAGGATGGAAACCCTCAGGTCCATAAGAGAATCCCCCAGGAAAGGCGATTTCCTGACTTGACAGAAGCTTACCCACATATATTCATTCGCCTGGCCCACCACCGATTCCAGCACTTTGGATAAGCTAGGAGACAGTACTGGTTCAAGCCTCTCGTCGAAGGTTGTGAAATCTGGCTTCCCACATCCTGTCCAAGAAGACAATGAGTCTCGGGGATCTGACAGAACTCATGGACATGATGGTCTCCTGCCAGGACTCTGCCTTGGGCAGAGCTCCACTCCAGGCCCCTCCAATGCGAAATCATGCTGAAGCTCAAACAAGTGGCTATCCTCCCAGGGGAGGCCTTTCCCTGCTTCTTTGCTGGTAGTTACAGCCCACCTGGCAGGAGCTGATCTCATTCTAGACCCAGCCTGGATTCCCTTAATGATGGATGCCTGTCTTTCTGGCTGGGGAGCTGTTTTCTTTTTTTAAAGTAAATTTTATTATTATTTTCTACAAACTGAAAAAAAACTAAAAAACATCAGTCATCAGAGATATCAGACCTACTGGGCAGCCCCCTATATATAGGGGACACAGGACTCCAGGCAAGGCCTCACTAGTGCCAAAGTAAAGGGGAACTAGCACTTCATGGGATTTGGAAGTGATACTTCTAGAATGTAGCCCAAAATAGCATTTGCCTTTATTGTAGCCACATCACATGTTTGACTCGTATTCGGTTTGTGATCTATGACTATTCCAAGATCCTCCTCACTTGCAGTAGTGCTGGGCCAAGCATTCCCCATCTTGCAACAATACGTTTGGTTTCTTTTTGCTAGGTGCAGAACTTGGCCTTTGTCCCTATTAAACGTCATTCTGTTGTAAGCCCAATGTGCCAGTCTATCAAGATGACTTTAAATTGTTACTGCTTTCCAGGCTGTCAGCCATCCCATCCAAAGTTATTTCATCTGCAAATCTGATAAGTGTCTCCTGTGCTTCCTCGTTATCCAAATCTTTAACAAAAATGTTGAACGGCACTGGGCCAAAAGACGTTGGCAGTGATGATGCTGACACGGCTGCGGCGCTTAGATTACCGTATTGCAAGTGTTGGCATCGCTTTTAGTGTCAGATGAGGCTTGGAAAATCTCAGCCTTACTTATCTCACAGGCTGGTTGTGAAATAGGCAGAGAAGCCTTGAGTTGAAGAACGGTGAGAGAGTATAAATAAATAGATAAATAATCTCAAGATTCCATCCCTTAAGACTAGGCAATATGTCACATTTTAAATTACATAAGTAGATGGTGATGCTGATTTTCAAGGAAAGTTCTGGGTTTGTGGGATTCTTTTACAACTCTTTTGGGAGGGGAATTCATGAGGGTATTCATCCCTACACACATTTTGGAAAAGTCAAGTGCTCTTACATTTCTCCCTGTTTTCAGAATTTTTGGACAGAGCACCTTTCGACAAACACTATTTGGAACTGCAGCTACAAACTGGAGGTGGTTTTATCCTGGAGGACTTCAATGAAAGTCAGGTGGGACTTCTGGCAAACCTGGGCTGGGGTGTGGGAGAAGGCTGAGAAAGTCATCATGCTGGAACCCCATAAAAGGGTCTCTTGACCAGGTCAGTGGATACCCAGCGGGGCAGAGTGGATACTTGCCGCAATTGTATTGGTTTTAAAGAATTATTTTTTCCCCAAATTACAAATGAGAAGTCTGAGGTGGGTGGGCTAAGCTCTAGTAAGCCAGCTCCTGATACCCCCATCCGTCACTGGTCACCAGTTCTTTGTGCTGACTTTCCCCAGAGTTTTCAGTTTCTTGCTTCAAGGAGCCACTAGTGTGGAAGGCTGTGTAGTTCCCTAAGGTTAGAGAATTTGGCCTGAGGCAAAAGAAGTCCTAGAAGTTTCTAACAGCAACAGTGTCTGAATCTCAAAGAACTGTCACTAAGCACTCTTTTGGAAACCCTTAAGTAAATGTAAGTAATCCCTTATATACAAAATATCCCTTTACTTGTTCACTGTTTCTAGAGTTGGTGCTTCTCTCACACACAAAGTTTTAAAGTATAGTGGTACCTTGGCTCACAAACTTAATCCGTTCCATGACTCTGGTTGTGACCCAAATTGGTTGTGACCCAAGTCAAATTTCTCCATAAGGTTCAATGTAAATAAGGATAATCCATTTTGTAACTATTTTTTTTTAAATCAGAAAAATTTGAAACAGAGTGCCAAAGAACAACAAAGTAACCAAGTCCTGTACAGTACAGTGGAGAACACTAACCTGGGGGGGGGGAGGTTATTGTTTTGAGGGAGAGACCCCCTCCATAAGACTCTCCATGGGGAGATCGCTTTCAGGGGTTTCCTCTCTTCTTTGTCTCTTAGCTGCAGGGTCAATTTTGGTGAAGAATCTGTCTATAGTCACTTGTTTTTTCCTGCACTGCATAACCCTCCGGAAATGAGAGACCACGTTATCGTTCATCAGATTCAACACTCTGTTTGTTACAGTTTTGTTGGGGTGGTGCTTCTCAAAGAAATCCTGGCATGGGCACGCTCCTGCAGGAAAGATGGGTGCAGCACAGCACAGCCGCAATCACGCACATCTTCCCTGCATGAATGTGACAGCGATCGTGGCCATCTCCCCACTCATGGGGTTGGGGAGACGGCCACAATCGTGCTGGTTGGGGTGTGGCGGGAGATGGCTGCGATCTTGGTCACCACCCAATGCGGAGTTTGTGACCCAAGTAAAAATGTTCATGAAATTTTTGTTAGTGACCTGATTTGGTCGTGAACCAAGGCGTTTGTGAGCCGAGGTACCACTGTATTCAGTTGGTGGCAGTAACGGGGAGAGAAAATCCCCACTGTTGTGCTTTTTGCTCTTTCTCTGCTGCTGGTTCTAGTTTTTATGATGATTCAACACATTGCACTGGCGTTTTAATTTCTGTAAACCTTCAAAAGAGATCAATCAAGAATATCTTGAGGTAGCCAGGGCTTGGGGTGTTTCTGAAGCCAAATAACACCGCCCCTCTCTTCTCCTCCTTTTATTCAGTGCAGTGTGGCTTCTCAGTGTCTTCTGATAGCCGATCAGCACTGCCGCACCCGGAAATACTTCCTATGCCTTGCGCGAGGAATACCGTGTGTGTCTCATGTTTGGGTCCATGACAGTTGCCATGCGAACCAGCTCCTGAACTACCGGAATTACTTGTTGCCAGCAGGTTACAGCCTGCATGAGCAGAGACTGCTGGAGTGGTGAGTGCACTGATTTGGATGAGAGACGGAGGCTTCTTGTCATGGTGGGTCTTGGAAGAGCCAAGCCCCCAAGAGCAGGGAAAGGATAGGGGGAAGGTGTGGGTGTGAAACCTATTGAGTTGCAGTGAAGCTATAGGTCACCCGCCACTTGTGATTCTTTTTAGGCACCCCCGAAAGAACCCTTTCCATAAATTGAAGGTGCTTCTAGTGTCTGATGAGCCACAAAACTTCTTGGAACTCTGGTCAGAGATACTTATGATCGGGGGAGCGGCTTCTGTTAAGCAGCAAGCATCAGCCTCATGGAACAAAGGTACAAGCCCCCAGAAGCCTCCTGTGGGGCTTCACCACCGTCAGGGATAAAACAAAGTTCTGGAATGCTGTAGGGAGGGACTTGCACCTGCCCCCTACAGAAGATGGGGCTGATGTGGTGGTAACTCTGAGGCTGGGTTTTATGTTTTTAAGAGGTAGCTTTTGGAGGCTGCCAAGAGGCTGGATGAAGTAGGGAATTGGGCACATTCACTCAAACCCATCCTTTGTCTGGTGCTGCCACCCATCTCCTCTGAAAGTGGAACTGAGCGCTTGGTGAACAAGTGGCAGGAAATCCTGGTCCCACAACGGCATTCTGGTTTCTTCTTTTAGATGTGAGCGTGGGTGTGTTTGATGTGGTGGTGACCGACACTTCCTGCCCACCTGCAATCTTGAGATGTGCTGCAGCATTGCAGCTGCCAGTGGTAACCCAGGAGTGGGTGATTCAGAGCCTCATTGCTGGGGAGAGAGTCGGATTCAAGCACCCAAGGTATCAGCAAGACCAGATTCCTCGTTGACTCTTCCTTTTTGCTTTGTGGAAACTGTCATCAGATTTTAATTTTTTTTTTTTTTTTTGTAACTTGACATGTGCATGAAGTGCTTGTATATAATTTTAACTTCTGGACTTTTATGATACAATTAATAAATGTCAATTTTCTTGTTGTACCTGTCGTAGTTGTTACCATGCCATCTGTGAAGAGGCAGAGAGGCTCACCCGTCTTCCCTTGGCGTCCAGCAGAGGGGCCAAATGTGACGGTGCCTGGCCAGGAGTGCGTTTGGGCAAAACCAGGCCCAGGACCCGGGGCACACACAGCTGCGTGGGATTATCAGTGGGGCAGAAATAGGGGGTGGAAGAGAACAAGAGAGACGCAAAGGAGCTGGGAGAAGAAAAAGGCAGGAAATGAGGCTTTAGTTGCAGAGGCCTGGAACTGGCCAGCTTTGCCTGCTGGAGAGTCCCAAGAGATGGACAGCCTGACAGAAGTGGCTAGGGGGTAGCCTGCGCCCGGGACTCCCCAGTGCCTGCCGCCCGTGGTGACGCTGCTCCTTACCCTACATCCAGGAAGGAGGAAGGGTTCAGGCCAGGCGAGGGACTAGACCATGGGTCCTCAAACTATGGCCCGGGGGCTGGATCCGGCCCGCCATGCCCGCTTGGACCCGCCGCATGACGCTCGCGACCATGCGCGCACCCACTGCTGCCTACCTTGCCCTGTTTGCGGGGAGGCAGCAGTTTGCTCACTCCAAGAAAACCATCTCCAAGTGAGCAAGCCGCTGCCTCGTGCACCCGCCTTGTGGTGTGTGCCCTCCCCGCCCCCCGCCTCAGCATGCGCGCCTGCATGTGTCACCCTCGCCCCCGCCCCACGGACACCGCTGGCACCACCTTTCCAGCCCACACCCAGCACTGGCACCTTTCAGCTGGCCCCCTGGTGAGAAAGTTTGAGGACCCCTGGACTAGACGCTTCAGGAAGCACAGCTGTGATGGGAAACTGTGAGCTGCAGTAAAGTAGTCTGGTGAACAAGCTCGCTTTCTTGATGAGTCTTGCATGAAAGTTAGGGAACAAGGTGCTTTCAACATGCTTCCTGATCCCGCTACACCATCTCAAAAGGAATCCAGGAAAATTCCTCCTGAATAATGGAAGAATTTTTCAAGAATCCCATTAATTCTCATATGTGTTAGAATTTTTATTTCTGGCAAAAAGAGGAAAATGGTCCAGGGTTTGCAATTCTCTGTGGCGTGTACAATATCAGAAGCTAGCTTTGCTGCGGCTGTACTAAGCACGCGTGCTCGTTTGTCATTGATAGCAACTCTCCCCCCACCCCAGAAATTCCCAAGCCTCAATGCTTGCAAACCTTTCCTGCATCTTGTGGGAATGATGAAGGCCACTATGTAATTGGGCTTTAAGTCTAATTGGCGGACGGGACTCGTCACGCACCGATTTCCCATCCTGCTCTTCAGCAGTACAAGAACATCTAGCGCACTCTGCTCTTTGGCATCTCCCTTTTACGTGTTGTACCGTGTCAGCACATGGCCTAAGGCTAAGGGTCAACTCACTGCTATGGCACCAAAGTCATCCAACATCCCTCTTGAAGAAATGTGCTCGGAGGTGATTTTTGGCCACATAAAAGTGGATGATTCCCTTTACCAAGGGAACTTCTTGGCTTTGGCTTGCTGAAGTTCCCGGGAAACCTCTCGGCTCTTTCCTTTGCTGATGTTCCCTTTATTTGCGGAATAAAGACCTTGCTCCTTTTGCTTGCTCTGAGAAACCTCGGCTGCGGTGTCTTACTGGGAGGAGCACATCAGAAACAAGCCCCTGCTCTTGCAATGAGGTGGCGCTGGAGGTAAGGCAGCAGCCACAGGCAACAACACATACGGCTGCTCCCCAGACGAAAAGGCAGGCATGAGCAGAGGGCAAGTGGGCAGCCCCACAAGCAAAGCCAATTTTGGCTTGGTAACAGAGAATACGAAGTTACAAAGCGACAATTCCAGCAAAAGTGCTTCTCAGTAAACAGCCACGTGGCTCTCTTCGATTAGGAAAAGCCCTCCATTTGGTTTTGCCTGTACAACGCAGCTTCATTCATACAAAGACCGCCTGAGGGGAAATGCCAAATGGCTGGGCTACCACCACAGCTACGACAGCAAAAGCAAGCGGAGTGGGTTGACCCGTGGAACACTGAGCGCCTATTTTTGCACTTTGCTTCTGGGAAAAGAGCGTAAGGAAATCAGCACAAGAAATGTGTTTCATAAGCTTTAATGTGACTGGGAAGGAAAAAGTGTGTGTGCCATGGCTGAAATGGAAGAGAACAGGCCACAGTTGTTTTGGTAATCAAAATACTTGCCAGCTGTCCCATCTCCACCCTCCTGCAGTAATAGTGATGTCTTGGCCAAGTCCCTGGAACTGCTAGCAACAGCTTCCATGGCTGGACTGAACTATCCTATTCTAATCCAACACTGCAGAGAAAGAAGAGAAAGTTAATTACAGAAATGCCACAATTCTACAGAATTCATTTAGGAAAACCAGCCAGAGGACTGTAGACCTGTCACCAAGTTGGACTGTTAAAAAGGTATACAAGCCAGGTGTATTTATATACTTTATCCTGGGCCTCAGAAAGGACCCCTCCCACCAGCACAGTGGTTAATAAACAAAAGCATAAGATTACATGAAAACGGTCAAAGCAGGTCAAGGCAGGGCCCCAAATAAACCTCCCTGTGCAAGGAACTGACAGTTCCTCTGGCAAATCAGCGTTGCCGAAAGTAGAAGCACCTCTGGCGGGGTGCCTGCTCTGTCTCCTACCTGCCCAAAGTGCCTCCAGCTTGCGTGTAGTACTTGTTGTAGTCCAGGCGTAGCAGCAGCTGAGCCAGGTCTGAGTTGATCTGGTGGTTGTGAACACTGGAGAGGATCTTGAACAGAAGCGAGGACTGGCAGCTGAAGCCCTGCGAAAGCCGACAGCCATGAATCGCACGTGCGGGAGGGGAGGGGAGGGGAGGGGAGAGGCCCAGCATCCAGAGTGAAGCGCGTGAGTTTCACAGTGCCACACGATCCGTAGAAGGGTATCTTATGTTTTGCCTTAGTTTTCTACATGCTATTTTGTGCTCCTGTTTGGGGGCGAACCATCGGTCTTCAGTAGACTGAGGAAATGGCTGGCACTCTGCCTTCTTATACTGTGTGGGGGGGTGCGGAGTTCCTGGCAAAACCATTAAGCTTTTAAATCTTCCTGGCTACAGGCACTGCGCAGGCACAGCATCCATATGTGTGAATGCACAGATGGCCACTTGAAGAAGGACAGTTACAGGTGAGCAACCTGCCTTTCTGAGGCAGCATCAGGTCTCCCTCTGCTGGCCAGAGACCAGAATAACAGCCCTGGAGGTTGCAGAACCAGGTCCACAGTCAATCAAAGCCACCTGGGATGTTACAAGCCCCACCTGGGAGCCCTGTGGGAGGAGCTATATAAGAACCCTCCAGATGCAGCCTTAGCAGTAAAGGGTCTTGATGCTGCTGGAGCTCCCTGTGCCTTCTGGAAACTCTGCCTGTTGTCTAGTTCCTGCCTCTGGCCCAGGCCCAGGCTCAGCTTCACCTGCTCCGGTCCCAGGTATCTGCTTCTCCTTGGCTTGTTTCTCTAGCTTTCAACTCCTGACTGACATTGCCTGCTCTGTTGTATTCAGACTGACCTACCTTGCACTTCTGTTACCCACCTTGATCTCTGGACTGCCTGGCTGCGATTTGGAATGGGCCTGTATATTGTATTGGGTGTCTGGGTCGTGGTGTCCCAACCTGATTCTTAGCTGCCCATGCCCCAGACACTCCTCCTTCCGAAACTGCATTGAACCTTGTGAAGGTTCAAGACCCTCCCCTTTTATTAATACATACTCAATACACAGGCTCCAAATATCATAACAATTATTCTTATTTATCAAGCCTTTTTCACTTTAATATTACAAGTTAACTTATCATTAATAACTGTATTCCAAACTTCTCTATACTAGAAATTATCTTCTCAATTAATCACTTACTAGGCAATTGTATTTTATTTTCCAATTCTTTGCTATCATTAATCTAACAACTGTAAATAAATTTGTTATTAATTCTGTAATAGTTCATCCCCATTGTTCTCTACCAAATATTGGCAAAAATGTGGCTCTCAGCTATGACTGCTTGGCAGCGTATGCAACTGAAACATTATTTTTTCCACTCTAGGTTTTGTACTGCTACTTCAATGTCAGAACTGTCTGTTTATTGGAAGTACTAAATGAGGCTCAACAGCTACATTTTATGTTGATAAATATTTGACATAAATGCAATTCATGTGATACATATTTATTATTGATGAATAAATATAACACATAAGCTCCTAATCAAGACTGTAATAATGAATGGAGCACCCCATCTTGCCCAGTCAATGGGGCACTTCATTATCACCTATTTCATAGAAGGTGGGGTCATGAAGGTTACACTACACATGACCTCACCCCCCCAAAAAAGTTGCTCAGAATATACTGCATACCTCAAAACATCTTTTTGATTGGAGCTTAATTACATCAAGCAATTGTTGGAAGAACAATGCTGCTAATGCGTCTCTTCTTCACATGTTATGGCGGCGTCCATTGGCAGCGTCTCTTTTGGGAGGCGGCAATAATTTGGATAAATCTTATGATGGAAACTTCTTTAATACTGAGCATACATGTTTGTTTGAATTACCTTCCCATCTCTTGGATTTAATGCTAGGTCAGCCTAAATAGATTTTCCTTAACCTAATAGATTCGGGCTTTAAGGAAGTTTTTGAATGGATAAATACCTGGAAATTTGGCATGCCTTGACATGTACACATGATTATTGGCAATACTGCATGGGGACGCAATGGGTTGGACACAACTGCACAACTAACAACAACTAGTATGACATGTTATATGCTGATATAGAACATGCATGCAATTAGTGTTATGGAACTGCTTACATTTTCAAAAAGTAAATGTTACAGTTTTGTTCCTTTTTAGACTGGGACTTGGGAGACCAAGGCTTCTAGTCTCCACTCAGCCATGAAGCTCACGGGGTGGCTTGGCCAGTCACTGGCTCTTGGCCTAACCTGGGGCTGTTGTGGTGACAACAGGAAGAGGAGGGTGACCATGTAAGCCCCACTGGATTCCTTGCAAGAGGGGAAAAGGCAGGACAGAAATGTAGTAATAAAATGAATAATACAAGCAAAGGGAAGAGAGGAAGAAGGCACCTCTTCATTCCTTAGCAACTGTCCTTTCCTTTCACTCCCCCCTTGGGAACTGCTGGTCTAGAAAAGGAAGCAGTGGCTGCTGATGGGCCCAATTCCTCATGTCCCCGGGTGCCTTTCCCAGCCAGGCAATCTCTGATGGTAGCCAGAATTGGAAAGAGGCAGCATTCTGCCTGTTTCCGGTGATCACAGCTAAATGAATCAACCTCCCAACAGAAGTGCCCCCGCCTCATTTAGCTTCTCAAGGAACTCCTTGCTAAGGCTCCAAAATTGCCTCCTGAGGGAATCATCCTCCAAGAACCCCGATGTCTCATAACCTTAGGCAAGAGGGAGGAAACACACCTTGGCCAGGATGCTCAGCTGCAGGGTGCCTCGCTCATCCAGGGGCCCCCGGTTCTGGCTGACCAGTGAGCAGAAGCTGTGGCAGAGATCCAGGATTTCATTCAAGCAGTGGAAAGCCTGTGCAGCAGAGTAGCAGGAGGGACATTAAAAAGCCCGATGCAGCCTGCCCAGCACCAGCGGATCGCAGTAGTCCTGGCTTCAACTTTTGGAATCTCAGCAATGCTAGCATTCAGCCTGGGATATACAGTGGTACCTTGGCTCACGAACACCTCAGTTCACAACCAAATCGGGTGACGATCGTGAGCATGCCTGCCTTCCCTGCACGGGCGCAATCGCAGTTGCGATTGTGCCCACGATTGCACCCATCTCCCCCACAGCACATCCGTGCCCACCTCCCCCCAGCGTGCCCACAATTGCACCCATATGCCCCCCGCACAATTGCTGAGGGAGGGGGAGATGGCTGCGATCTTTGTTGTTCTTTGTCACTTTGCTTCAAATTTTTGTGAGTAAAAAGAGATAGTTATGCAGTGGATTAACCTTATTTACATTGAACCTTATGGGGAAATTTGACTTGGCTCACGACCAATTTGGGTCATGACCAGCATCCTGGAACAGGTTAAGGTTGTGAGCCAAGGTACCACTGTATTTTCAGGCATGTTTACTCAAAACTTTGTGTTTACTCAAAAGTGTGTGTCAGTTTAATTGCCTTCCATAAAGCACCAAGGGAGTGTGCAGAAATCTATTTTGTTTATACACAAGACAGGAGTTGCCAAAAGCCCAGTACTTTTAAGTATTAAGCTGGTTTAAATAAGAGTTCCAAGAATATGCTGCACATGCCACAATATACAGCACTTTGGGGAAGGACTTGGCTGGCTCTCTTCTCCCCCAACAGATCCCACCTAGCAGTTAGGGAGAATTCTGCCCCTTATCCAACCCCCCAAACAGAAAGAAGAGAGACATGCTTGGATTTCACTCTACATCAAAGTGCATGAAGGATCTGGGTTGTTCAAACCAACTAAGCCAGCCACCTTCCTGGTGGTCTGGTTTTAAGAATGGGCCCTTCATGCCCCACTTGTATTGAAGGTAGGAGTGTGCCTTTAGCCTGCTCCAACAAAGTAACTTTGAAGTCCCTGTGCCACCAAGTGGAAGGGTTCCCTATTGACTGGGGTTGGTGGAGTAGGAGGTACTCACTGGTTTCAGCAGGATGAATGACTGAGCCAGGAGATTGCTCAGGAAATGGTCGTGTGCCAGTCGGATGCTCTCAAAGTCACGCGTGGCATTGATCTGCTGCAGTAGCTGTGAAAACTGAGATTCCAGGACGTCCACCTGAGAGCAAGCAGACCAGAAAACTCTTTTCCCGCTGCAAGGAATTAGGGTAGCCGGAGGATGTCTGCAGGAGCAGCAGTTACTGCTCTGAACTTCCGTCACTGTAGTCAGTACTTGCAGGAAGAAAAGCCTGAGGTCTGAGGCAAATGGCCACAGCGTGAACGGAGCCGAACTGCTGCTCCGCCTTGCCAGGGCAAGCCTCGCCTGCACCTGCCCGCCAGTGTTCTCCAGAGACGGACTGCACTGGATGGCAGCACCCTCACCTGCAGATAGTACTGCAAATTATCCACCAGAAAGGTCATATGATGGCGCAGGCGCCACTTGATGGCGTCCGTCCTGCTGGACTGCAGGCACTTGCCTCGCGTTTGCAGGGCCCAGCAGTGCTGCAGCTCTGCCTGGACGCGCCGGACACTCAGCAGGTACTTGAAGACCACATTGTACCTGCAGGCGAGACGAAAATGAGCAGCCCACGACTGGCCAGACCCTGAGACTAGATGAGCGGCACGCAGGCAAGTGAACGCCTGCTTCCAGAGCTCAGCCAGGGAAGGCCATTGCTGCGCAAATGCCCCAGCACGGGGGTGCGTGCAAACAGAGCGCTCACTTTTCCAAGACGGCAGGAGTGAAGAGGATGTGCAAGGGCCACTGCACCTTGTAGGAGAGCCCCAGCGCAGCCCAGCCCGACGTGGGGGATTCATGGGGAGACAGTTCCCGGGAAGGAGCTTCGCGAGACTGAGAAGCATCTGGAAAGGAAGCCCACGGAACGCCGTGAGGGTCAGGCAGGATGCAGGTGGGAAGCAGAGCACAGCAGAGCACACTGGACTCTGTGACACGGGGACTAAACCCCAAACGACCTCTCTGTCGCTCTGCCCTCACGGACCTGGGGCAAGTCGCCCTTTTTCAAAAGGGGATCTGACACTGATGGCAGATGGCCTGCCCTGGGGCATCCAGGCAGCCCTCGGCACCAGGCGGGGCTTTGGACCACAGTGCCTGCCACCCCGAGCTCCTACCACAGGCCGTGTTGAGGGCCAGCGGGACTCGCACTAGCGGGGGGACTCCGCGGCACCAGCGCCCACCTCGGTGCTCCTTCCCATGGTAGTGGATGGTCAGATGGAGGAGAGGCAGCAAGTTGTCATCATCCAGCAGCACTTTGTGGGCCGACTGCTGGAACGCCACGTTCACATCTGCGGGAAACAGCAGTGCCACCGGAGGAGTGTTGCGTGTGCGCACCAGCCAAACGAGGAACAGCGTCTTGCAACCCTCCCTCCTCAGCCCTGTTCCAAGGCTTGTGCAGCAGCAGCAGCAGGTTACTGAGGCACGTCACAACACATGTATTTGCTGGAGGCAGTAGTGCTCCTTTGGCACAAAGGACTGGGCAATGGGGAGCATGCCTGCGTGGCTGGTGAAAGCTCTGCTCCACCGCCCCGTGCAGTAGCTGCTCCTCACTCAGGCCAGGCAACCCGCGGCAGAACCCGGGGAGGCACAGGGCTCCGCTCCGCCATTTCTCAGGAGACAGGGCTGTTTCTGGCACCAAAGACTCACCATGCTCAGTCACTGCAGTGGGGGGTGACTTTAGCATATGTTGTGCAGTATCAATGAAGGCCTGAAACAGTTCTCCTCTCCCCAGGAGGTAAAAATCTTTAATTATCTAGAATGAAAGGAAGCATTGAAACATAAATCAAAATGCAAAGATATTGCTAGCAAGCTTGTTTCACTTGCTAGACCTAACATTGTCCTGAAAAAGGTGGGTTCACAGACTCATAGAACTGTAGAGTTAGAAGGGGCCAAGAAGGCCACTGGGTCAATCCCCTGCTCAATACAAGAGTACCAGCTGAATCACGCCTCTCAGAGGGCTGTCCAGCTGCATTCCAAATGCCTTCAGTGTGGGAGAGCCCAGTACCTCCCTTTGTCAGTGGTTCCACTGTCATACTGGTCAAACAATAAGGAAGTTCTTCCTGATGTTCAGCTGGAATCTGGATTCCTGTAACTTGAGTGCGTTATTCCATGTCCTGCACTCTGGTATGATGAAGAAGAGATCATCATTTTTCTGTGTGTGACAATCTTTCAAAGACTTGAAGAGTTCTATTCTCTCTGTCTTCTCACGGGTAAACATGCACAATTCTTAGAACCTTTCCTCATGGGGTTTTTTTCCCAGTCTCTGGATCATCCTTGTTGTTCTCCTCGGAACCCTTTGCAGATTTTCTATATCTTTCTTAAACTGTGGTGGAACTAATGCAGCTCAATATAGCATTTGTCCTGTTTGCAACCACATCACATGTCAGACTTGTATTCAATTTGTGCACTGCAACAATTCCAGGAATCTTCTCGCTTGCCCAATTGTTGAGCCGAGCATCTCCCACCTCGTAACCGTGAATTTGGTTCCCCTTTCCTAGATGGAGAACTTGACATTTGCCTCAACTGAATTTCCTTCTTTTGTTTTCAATGCAGCACTCTAGCCTATCAGGGTCACTCTGAATTTTATCAGTCTTTCAGCTGATCCACCCAATTTTGTGTCACCTGAATAACCTTCCCATTGTAACATTTACCTTTAGCTGTCCTATCAAATCTGATTCTTCCACCATCAGCTTCCACAGGTGCTTCAAAGAGAAAAAAAAAGCCTGTCAGCATCAAGATTCAGGAATCATGGCCACCTATAAAGGCACCTCCTCTCACCTAGAGAAGATAAAACGCACTGACTCACACAGCCAGACCTTCACCCACCAGTTCTTATTGGAAGAAACCAGGCTGGCTGGTTCTTGGTTAAGGTTGGTGGGTGGTTCTCTGCCACTATCCCTCAAAACAGTTGAGCAGGAAAGGTTCTAAAGCACTACTGACCTCAGCTACAGTGCTCCGTATCCAGTCAACCACTGACTCAAAATCCATCAAATTGAAAACAAGATGTTGCTTGAGACGATGCAACTCAGCAGCAAAGATGTCCTCTTGATTCTTCAAGATGGAGCCTGCAGAGAGGAAAGAGTGGCCCAAACTGAGCTTTTCCTGGTACAAGACAAAGTGACCTAGTTTGCACAATCAAAGTAAGTATGGCCTTGTTAAATTGTGGTACTTCTGGGCACAACTGATAATCACCAGCTTGATGAGTCCTGTTGTATTGTTCAGATTCAGAGCACATGGCTTACTGGTAGGGAAAACAACTCTGCACCATTACTACCACATCACACTTCCTTAGGATACTGAAAATTTGCTTAAGCCAAGTTTTACCCTCATCTTGACTTTGATCGGTCAATAGCAGATTGTGACTGTCCTGTTCCTTTTGTTGCTTGACACATTTATTTTGACTCGGATGCTCTTAGAGGAGGAGGAGCCTGATGGCCTCATATTTCTGTGCAGGAATAAGTACTGTTGCCTGCACTTGCTATCTTCCAGTCATGGAAGTCATCCCTCAAGTTTCAGTAATACCTAACAGGTTGCACTTGTCTCCTTGTGTTGAAAGAGTTCAAGTTCATCCTGTTTCCTGTGCTCTGGGCATTCGTGTATAGACTTTTTTTCCTACATTTTTCCTCCTGGCTTTTTTCCTACATTATTGCCAAGACTACTTTGGGCTGCTCCTAAAGCTCTTCTGTTACTATTAGTAGCCAACAAGAAATCCCACTTTTTGATTGGTTAACCTCTGTGGTAGGCTTTGGGAATGATGTGGACTTAATATATCTTGACTTCAGCAAAGCTTTGGACAAAGTTGCATGATATCCTGATTAGCAACCTAGCTAGAAAAGGGCACACTGCATACTCACAGCTGGCTGCAGAGGTGAGGTTCCCTTGCTGTTGTTTTAAACTATTAAGATTCCCTCCCTCTCCAGAATGAGGAGAGAAGCTGCCATCAGGAGACAGAGTGTAACAACTCAGGGAATTTAAGAGGACTGGAGATGTTGAAGAGGACTTGCATTTATCATAATCAAGATTACCCCTGGGGGACAGATTTGGGGGGTGACCTGGGCAGCAGTGAGGCACAGAGGAAACATTCTGTTACGAGCAAGGCGCAGGTTCCTGCACCCAGGAATACAGAACTGTAGGCCCAGGGGTCAAATCCGGCCCTCCGGGGGTCCTCTATCTCCCCTCTCCTTTACCTCGCCCAGCTTCCTACAACTATTATTTGGTGGCTTGCTAATGGTAAGCCAAAGCAACATCAATCCCAAAGTACTAAATACCCCGTGGAGAAGGAATTAAACCAAAGTGACCTGCCTTTTTTGCTAAGGCTCACATTCTGACTCTCAAACATCTGGACAGACTCGCCCACAAAGAGGATTTTCTCAGCAACACGTACAGGGATGTAGGAGGGCAACATTTCTATCCGTAGAGAGAACTGCTTTGGAGAAGGGGCCAACATATTCTCCTCTTCGATCAATCTCTGTTAAGACAAGGACCAGTGGAAGGATAGTAGTGAGACAGGACGATGGAGAAAATCTAAATAGAAAACCATGTCAAAATCCCTTTTCTGAAGAGCTTTGGGCAGGTGGAAGGTATGGCGTTGGGGGATTAAGTAGCCAGCAAAGGAGAAGAAGGGGTAACTGTTGTCCCCTCTTCTACTTATTTCCCCATTCAGCGGATGCCTGGCAGCTGTACAAACCTCCTCTCAGACTTGGTGGGTCTGCTGTTGAATACCAGGTTGATCCTACACACACACAAAATATTTTATTTTTATTTAATTATACATTATGTGATTTTATCTTGTGCAATTTTATCAAGATATTTTAAATTGTACTGGTTTTATTTAACATTATTTTTTGGCATTTATTCATGTAATGGCTGCCAAACCCATTCTCAGAGGTGGCGGGGTCATCTGTCCAGTCGGATGACATTAAGCCTGACCTGGGTGGGGTTGCACTCTCCCTTATGGATGGGGTTTGTAGCTGGGAGGTGCTCCTGGACCCTAAACTGCCACTAGAGTCACAGGCTGACTCGGAGGCCTGGAGGACCTTCTCTTTGCTTAGGTTAGTTTTGCAACAGTGAGTTATGCTCTGGTGACCACTATTTTAAAAAGTTCTATTTTGTCTGCATCACTTACTGCATTTTACTGATGCTGTGCCTTGGATTAATTTGTGGGTTCCTTGTGGGTCTACTGTTGCTATTTTAGGATTGTTTTTCTATTGCTGTGTCATTTTTTTATTTTAATGTATTGTTTTATTTGTGTATTGTTTTTATTTGTGCGCTTTGATTATGCGAACTACCCAGAGACTCACCTTGACTAACAGACGGCATAGTAAATCAGTCAATCAATCAATCAATCCCCCCTCCCACCCCGGCCATCTTGGAGATTAGCCATGTTGCTTATCAGGAGGGCAATGGGGGTGATGGAATGGACAGGGCCAAGCGAAGGAGGAGGGAAAAGTGAATCTTTCCAGACTGTCAGAAGCACAGCAAAACACAGTGGGAATCTCAAGGGTTTAAAAGATATCTCATTTGGCCTTGGATTGCCTAACAGTTAAAGAACAGTGCTAAGCAGATCCACTGGAATAAGATGAGAGCATCAAAACCTCACCATATCCTGCAATTCTCGCAGCTGTTTTCCTGTCAGCCCCCCAATGCCCAGATCCTCCTCCTCCTCCTCGGGCTGGGCAGGAACGATCCCTGAAGACGGACCTGGTTTAATGAAGAACTCCTCGTGCTGGTCCAAGAGCAGTCCATGCAGCATCCAGGCGGAGAGCTGCTTGTACATGACGGCATGGCACATTGCCAAGACCCTGGAGAGACAGGTGAGGCACAGGGACAGCAGTGGGGATGGTGGTGGGTGGGAAGGGGAGCTGGCATCAGCCCGAGGCCAGGAAAGGGAGCCAACGTGCAGATGATCTGCCTGCAGCAGCCCTGGAATCCTGGCAGCATAAGCTGCAGCCACACTGAAGTCAGCACAGCAGAGCTCCAGAAGGTCAAGTGCTGTAGAACAGTGTGCTGGGGCTTCAGGGGGACTGGTTTATTGGGGGACAGAGTCCTTGGACCTACAATCTTGTGCTTCTGTCCCGAGACTGAAATGACTCCCACCAAGCTCTCCTGAAGCTGGAAACTCAACAGGAGTATCTTACTTTTCCAGAGCATGCCGCACAGGTGGCAGGCCACCACGGCTGTGTCTGTTGACAATCTCCAAGATCTGACAGCCATGAATCTGCAATGGAAACAACGTGACATTTCACATTCAAGTGGCCCCCAGTGCCAGCTGATATCTGCACTCTGCAAAGACCAGATGCCTCCCCACTTTCACATTAACTCAGGAGGAGGAGGAGAACTGTATCAAGCTCCTCAGCCAGAGATCAATACCATTCCTAGCCACTCTACTTTTCTGTGAATTGTGACAACAGATCTCGGATCCACATCACCGAATGTGCACCCATCTGATCTCTGGGAGTCTCCCCTCCACAGTGCACTGCAGCTCACTCCATTCACTCAGTTCAGCAGGGTCCCCGACCTTCTGAATAACATTTTCTGTGGGCTGGAGGGGCTGCCCAAGGGAGAAGAGAGCAGGAAGTCAGCTTCCATCCCTTGACTGCACGTGCAGTTGAATCCAAACCATCTTGTTTGCATTTCTCTTCTCCAGTGAGATAACACCACCACCATCTCTGTCACTAGCAAAATATGTAACACTGTACTAAGCTGATAAAGGCCTCTGTGAAAAGAAGCAGCCACTGCCAATGGTAACCAAGGCACCCAGCCATACCTTCTGGGTCTTTATCTGCTCCACCACAATCATCAATGAGGGGAAAAGGAGTTGGAACTGCAAAACAAGAAGTGGAATATAAGGACGGGTTTCCTAGTTGGGACTGGGTTGTTGGGGAGAGAACATTTTGATAATCAGATGGCAAATATTCTCAAATGAATCGCTCTTTCCACTTGCCCAAGTATATAAAAGCATTCTGTGTGAGAGTGCCTCCCACAGTTTCAGAAAGTAATACAGCAAAAGAGAACAGGTTTGGAACCAAACAAATCTGCCAACCAACAAGACAGGAACTGCTGACCAATAATGCAGCTCACATGCAGGTAGAAACAGAACAAGAACACAATTAAGAGCATGGGTCCTCAAACTATGGCTCACAGGCCGGATATGGCCTGACATGGTCATTTACCTGGCCCGCCTCAAAGCTTTTGGACCCAACTTGGAGAAAATGATCTCCGAATGAGTCCAAAAGCTCTGAGCTGGTACAGGTGTTCTCTGAAACTCTTTCAGTTTTGGAGACTAGCAGAGAGCTGGCGCATGCGCCAAATTGTAACAGCTCCCTTCAACTGTGCATGTGCTGGATCTTCCCCCTATTGCATGCGTATGTTGGCTCTGAATTCAGAGCGGGAGTATGGAGCGGGAATACAGAAGAGAGGAGGGCAGTGGGGAGAGGGGGAGAGAGAGAGAGAGAGACAGACAGACGAAGACACTAAAAAAAAAGAAGGTAAGAAAAATATAACGTTTAAAATCTATTTTTCACTATGTGAGCCACGTCCCCAGGCTGCAGGTCAAGCTGCAGCCGCAGCTCCCACACCTCCGCCGCAGCCTTATCTGGGCAAGCCGCCACCGCCGTCGAGCAGCTGCCATGCTTCTTCCCCCCATGGTGAGGAGGCAGGAGGCACCCCACTCAGCCAGCCATGATCCTGTCCCTCACCTTGGAAAGCAGCCATTTCCTCCCTCCTTGCGGCCCTCTCTCGGCTGGGGTAGCTGCCCTGCATTCAGATCTCCAGCCTCCCACTCCCGTTCCTCCTCCCAGAGCCGGGCGAGCGCCTGTGAAGAGACCTTCCTCCGGCTCGGAAGTGGGGAGGTGGCAAGGAGCCGGGAAGGCCTCGACCCTGGAGGCAAGCGCCCCCTCATGGCTCCCCCTCATGTCATGCTCTCCCTTTCAGCGGGCAGCGTGGCATCATCTTGGGCTGTTGCTGCAGCCCGCGCAAGTGGAGCAAACATTTTTTATTAATTTTTAAACAATTTTTAATTTTAATTTTAACTGATTTTTAATGTGCAGTGTGCATAGGAATTCATATTTTTTTCAAACTATAGTGCATCCCCCCCAACAGTCTGAGGGACAGTGAACTGGCCCCATTTTAAAAGTCTGAGTACCCCTGATTTAGGGGCATCCCCAGGACTCCACTACTCTAGTCTGGATGCTAAGACTCCCTTAGAAGCAAGCAGGCTCCCCACAGCAAGCAGCACTAATGAGGGTAAGCAAGAGACCGTGCATCCACTGCAGACTTATCCTAGGAAGCCCTGTGATCTGTTTTTCTATAGCGGAAGAAAGAATCGTGCATCATGTGCCTGACATCTTGGATGCAAAAAGTATTGTAGATAAGCTCCGCCTCAAGTGTACCAGAACTGCACCCTTCAGCAATGTCTGAAAACATCTGTGGCACAGGTGAATGCCTGAAAGGCAGTAGTTTCTGGTAGTGCTCCCCACAACAGGCAAAGCAAAGCTATTTTTGATGGACTGAGTGTATCAGGACATACAGGTATGTTTCTGTCAGATTGAGGGAGTCTGGGAAATCTCCCTGGTGCATGGTTTTCAAAATGGTCCTATTATTTTTTAATTAGATTTCAATCCCACCCATTAGCCAAAATGTTGGGAACAAGTCTTTCCCCATGCTTTACTGTTGGATTAACAGTGGTTTGTTTACTCCCTAAAGAGACCAGCACTCTTGATTCCCACACCGGTGTACAAACTATGCAGCGACCTGTGCTTTGTGCTGCAGAATGGAAGAGAATGATATGCTGCACAACCCATCAAGGTTAAATGCATTGCATGCAAACCAACTCCACAGGTTAATTATGGGTTAATCACGCAGTATAATTGTTAACTGTAATCTAAGAGCCTTTTCGTGTGTAATTAAACTAGTGGCTGGGTTCAGATTTCAGGTGGCAACCTGACAGGAGGCTGAATATTCAACATGGCTGCAACACACAGCCGCGATAAGTAACTCGCCACTGTGTGGATGGGCCCTGTGGGTAGGGAAGCTGCCTGACAGCTGCCTCCTGGCATCTCCCTTGCGCTAGAGGTGTGGCAGCCTCCTAAAAGCTCTTCCGCTAAGCCTGCAGGTGCTGTTCTCTCCACTTGTGAGCCATGACCTTGAAGAACATGCAGAATTATCTCCCTTGGAAGTAGTGGCTTTTGCCAGCATGGAGGCTGAGGAAAAGGCTCATCTTCAATGAGTGTTTAAAGGAAACCACCAAGAACTGGGCATGGAAAATACCCCCCCCCCCAATTTACACAGAGCACCTGAGGAGGAGCTGAGAAGTGTACTATTACACCCTATCTCAGATGGAGTCAGAGCTCCCTTCTGCCTCTGTGAGCTAGCTACTTCGAGCCTTTCTGCCTGCTCCCAAGTATCTTAGGTCAAAAGATTGTCTCGGTGAGTTGTGTCTCAGTACTCTTAGGGACCAACTGCCACCTGCCAAATCCCCTTGCAGAATTTGAGATGCATTGATGTTGTCAACAACAGAGAATGAGGGTTAAACTTGCTGGTCCTCCCTACCTCCACTGTCTGGGTCTTGGGTGCACCTAGACTGATGGATAATTTGCAGTAGATTAGCAAGGTTTTCTGGTCCTATTTAACATAAACAACAAAAACCTCCCCTGCCACTCCTATCTTAGGCTGCTAGAATCTCTGATCAATAGCATCTCAGATGTAGATTTGAAGTTGTATCTCACTGCATGGCACCATTTTGCATTTGACTTTGCAGGCGACTCTCCATCTTTCACTACTTTACCCCTGGCCCAAGTTCTAATTTTAAAAACTCATAATTGATCTGGAAGTCTGAAATCTGCCCATGCCATATCTAGGAAAGCTTCTTTTCAGAAAGGAGCTACAGAGAAAATCTCTATCACTGAGAGATGGCAACATCTCTAGCAGAAGGTAGCTATAAGCAGGCAGATCTCACCTGGTCCAGAGAATAGTTGACATGTGAGATGGTAAGGTGAGGATCAGCCAAGAACTGCAAAAAGCAAAGAAATAAAAGGTGTTGAAGGCCATAACAACTATTTGGGATGGTATCTCCAGAGCATAAGCAGGACAGAGCAGGGGTCAGGAAAATGGAGGCTTGTTAGCAGGAAAATAACATTTTACCCCTTGAAACTAAGTTTTGACCTGAAAAGATGAGCTAGCAAGGGAAAATATGCATATGGAAAAATCAAATTGTAAATGTCCTGCTGAAAGCTGTAATGCTACAGACCAAGGAGTGGCTTCCAACTACTAGTTTCCTACCATGGGAACTCCTGAAATCATAAATATCCAATGTCCCTCTGGTTCCACTGTATTATCTACTGAATTGGCTGCTGACAGTCCTAAGAACAAACTGTACAGAAGTATTATCATAAATTCTACCTCCAGCAGATAATCCATTCTTTTGCAAAAGCACAAAACAAATGTCACTGACCAACAAAATGACAGGATATATATATATCCATGTTTTTTCTTTTTCTTCTTGTATCTCATTCCCTTCCTTCTCCTCCAGACCCCAAAACTGCCGATTTTGTGTATCACAGAATAAGACTTTCACTAAAACTTTTCATTTTTAGATTATTTTTGATGAGAAGCAACATATACATGTAAATATGCATACCATGCAGTTTTGTCACTTGCTCTGGCACTGCTCCCTTGCCTCTTGAGAAGGTTCTGCACTTCATGAAAGCATTCTACTTCCTAGACTAAATGATCACACACACTTACTTCTGCATGTTTTATTCAAGTGGTGCTAATTCGAGCCACTTTTACAAGGAAGCCTGGCCTACCCCAGAAGAGATCCAGGATCATAATGCAAAACAATATGCAGTTCACCCATACATTTGAGCTAAATTTCCCTTGTCATTCACATTCTGATTCAGGAAGGCTTATTTCCTGAACATGGAGAAGTGGCTTGCAGATCTTTTTAGACACAAATACCCTAAGCAAACATGGAAAACTCTTCCTCCATCAAGACAGCTACTTTCTCAGAACTAGAGAGGCACATGGGAGTACTGTTGCTACTGAACAACTGAACCAACATGGGTTATTTATTTTAAAAAAGAATATTTCCTGCTAGACATTATAAATTTGCAATCTGGCCATGTATCATCATCTTGACACTGAGAGCATGAAAAGGAATTGATTTGGATACTTTATGAAATGAAAAGAAACTTTCCTTTTTGCATAGATGAACTGGTCTGTTTTCCTTTGCATGTTGATATATTTGCAACAGACAACTGGCAAACCATTTTGAATTAACTGGCACCATAACCTAAATAAACAAATGTGTATTGTTTTGTTGTTGTGGAAGGAGCTAGCCAAACATATCTAGACAATAGAATACAGTGGTACCTCGGCTCAAGAACTTAATCCGTTCCACGACTCTGGTCAAATTTCCCCGTAAGGTTCAATGTAAATAAGGTTAATCCGTTCTGTAAATATTTTTATCAAAAAATTTTTTCAAATTTTTATCAAATTTGAAACAAAGTAACAACAACAAAGTACAGTACAGTAGGGAACACTAACCTAGGTGGGGGGGGGAGGTTATTGTTTGGAGGGAGAGTCCAAACCATAATCGTGCAATAGCAATCGTGTTCTGGGGGGTGGGGGGGAGATGGCCACGATCATGCTCTTGCAGGGAAGACTGGTGTGATCATGCTTGTACAGGGAAGATGGCCATGATCGTGATCATGTTCATGCAGCAACATGGCTGTGATCGTGGTTGTCCCCCAATGCAGAGTTCTCGAACTGAGGCATTTGTGAGCCGAGGTACCACTGCAGAAGGTTTCTGATCACTTAAGAGGGCTACAGTTGCCCATCCCTTATGTAAGTGATTAACAGTGCAATCAGAAGCCAGTCCTGCTGTTTTCAATGTTGTTTACTCCTAGATAACTGTGCCTAGATACAAATTAATTGGCAACAGGGCATCAATTAGTTATGGAAACCTGCTTGCTCCTTCCTTACCTCCTGTTCCAAGTCAAGTAGTGCCTGCCGGTATGGCTCTAAGACCGTGTCCAGCCCAGTGCAGAAAGCCCGGAGATAAATCCCTTGCTGTGTGCTGTAAAGATCCTGAAACCAGGCCGAGGAAGAGTTAATAGCCAGAAACACAGGACGCCAAGCCCAGTGACCAGGGAAGACCCTGACCTCGGGATATGCTGCCCCCCATTCTTGCTGGGCCTGCACAGGAAAGAGCGGGAAGGGCACCCCGTGCTGCCAGTCCAAGAGATGGAGGCAGGGAGACGCTCCAATGCCTCCCGAGCCTCGCAGAGCACGGCCGCTGTCGGACGCGCCTCAGCCGGCTCTCTCGCTGCTGAGCAAGCTCACTGGGAGAGAAACTCGGCCCTCCGTCCCCCGCACTCGCTGCTGGAAGCAGGAGTGTCCCCGGAGGTGAGCCCGCGCCCAGGCACTCTGCACATGCTCCAGAAGGCCATCCACCACCCACCGGCGGCTGCGTCGGGGCGGCTAGGGGCGCGGTGCTGGAGGGCGGCAGCAGCGGCGGCTGGACGTGCTCGGCGAACTGCTCGATGAACTCGCTGAAGCGGACGTAGAAGGCGCCCAGGCGGCAAGCGCGGGCCAGCAGGCCGGCCTCGCTCGGATGCAGGAACGGGGGCAGCGCCTCCAGCGACACCTGCGGGACGGAGAGCGCGAGCGGGTCAGCGGGACGTCGAGAGGAGCGAGCGCCCCGCCCGCCCGCCCGCCCGCCAGCCAGCCAGCCAGCCAGCCGCCCACCTGCAGGCCCCCTCCGGCCCCGCTGACGACGAAGAGGCCGCCGGTGTAGCCGCGCAGCGCCAGGAGCAGCTCGTGGATCATGGCAGCGGGGGGCACGGGGGGCGCCGCGCGAGGGCTCACGGGACTCGGGCCGACCCGGGCAATGGGAAGCGGGCGCGCGGCGTGCACACGCAACTTCCGGGGCGGAGCACGCGCGGCCCCGTTGCCATGGGGACGGGGCGGGCTCGCTGGAGGGGATGAAGCCGTCTGACGGCGCGGGCGGAGCCAAGTCACCGAGGCGCCTCATTCGCTGCGAGCGGCGATTTGAGCGGAAACGTCCGCGGGAGACGGGCCTTCGCTGCGGGACGCCCCAGCACGCTGCCAGCCTCACCATGGCCTACACTGCAGGGCTGTCGTGAGCCACAACTCGGCGTCTGAAATGCGAGGAAATAACGAAGGGCTGCATTTGCAGCATGTTCTTAGGAGGACGCACATTCTTTTCGTGAGAAATAAGGCCTGGACTAGGAAGAACCAAAAGGAGCAACTTTGCTTTTCTGTTCTTTACCATTAAAATGTTCCTGAGGCCACAATGAAAACTTCTCATGCAAAACAGGACAGAAATACAGGCTTTGAAAAGACATATCCTCAACAGAAAAGGGGCTGAGAGGAAGGAAAAAGCAAAGTCACGTTCTGGCTCTTAGTTGCAGAATGATCAGGATGCCGGAGGGCAGTCGGATGGCCCCTGTGTGGCTGGACTGGAAAGGCATTCGCTCCGATGTGGCATCAGGACACTTCTTAGTTTTTTGCTCTCCAGACTGGAAGTATCTGCAGAGACGGGCAAGCTGCTCCCTGTCAAAGGCGCGCTGCAGCAGGCCTCCAAATGGCACTGTGTCCTGACCTTTCCTAAGAGTGGCTGCTGCTTGTCCAGGGTGGGATGCCAGCCTTCAGAGGCCTTGCCAGAGCCTCGTCTCTCCCACTGCACCAGAATGATACCAGCATGACTGGTGTCCTTGCCGCACTTCCTCACAGCAGCATAATATTGCAAGGTGGATGGGGATGAGGCTTGGTTGGATTCCCAGTCAACAAGCCTCCATACCACCTATGCCTTCATCTCCTTAAACCCTCTTTCAGCCCAGATCCAGCACTTGTAAGCAGAAACCTGGCACTCCATTGACATGAGCGCAGACATTAGTCACACCTGAATTAGAAAGGGCAGGAGCTCCTTCCTTAACCTCACTTTTGTCTGGTGGCTGGCGCTTTACCTACCCTGAAAGAGACTGCATTGGCTCTGACAGTTATCCTCACCTGGTGCCTTCCAGATGAGATGACCTACATCCCTACTAATTCCACAGCCAGCTCTACTTACTAGGATTATGGGAATTGTGGTTGAACACATCTGGTAGGGGACAGCTGGTATATAAAGCATCATATGGAACCAGGAAGTTGTCCCTACGCACAAACATGGACGTCATTTAAATCCTTTTCTATTCCTAATGGCTCAGAGGATATTTGGTTCCAAAAGTAGTGAGCCTACACACATCCCTGAAGCGCACCTGCCTGGAGGAAGTGCAGAGTACCTCCCTATCTGTGCAATTCCAGACAAGCTTGACTACTTCCAGTGCGTCCCCCCCCCCCTCCGCGTCCTACAGTTGTGATTTGACAGTGGTAGAGGCGTGTTTACATCAACTTCAGGAAGGGTCCGAAGCGCGTGTCTGCGTACACCCCCGACCCCATCTGAGGCAATGTGCGAAACTCACGCATTGCTCTGCAGAGATGCAGGCAGCTGAAGCAGACGCCCTCCAAAAGCAGTGCTTCCAAGCGCGGCGAAGCGGAGCGGGCGGCGAGGGAAACGAAGGCTGGGGAGGCTCTGGGAAGCCGCCCCCGTCGCTTTTCTCCCGCCGCCGCCGCCGCCGCCGTGCCGCCTCGCCTCCTCGCGGGCCGGTGCCAGGGCGAGACGCGTTCCTGCCTTGGCGCCCTTCCCGCGGCGCCCCCGAGGCAGCGCGAGGATAGGAGGCCGGGGAAGCGCCCCGCTCGGCCGCCACCGCCCCAGGAAGGCGAGTGGCCGCTCCCTCCTCCTCCTCCTCCTGCGCTCGCCGCCGCCCAGCGCGCGGGTCCGCCCCCCCTTCCGTTCTTTCTTCCTCCTTTGCAGACGGCGCAGCACTTAGGTTTGCTCAGCAGCCGCAGGCTGAGCGGGATCATCATCGCCGCCGCTGCCGCCTCGGCTCGCCCTCATGTCTGCCGCGGAGGAAACCGACGGGGCGGGCGTGGCCCGTCCCCACTACGGCTGTGAGTTGCGGGCGGGCGCCTGGGGAGGGAGCCGTGGCGGCGCTGGCGAGGCTGCTGCGGCCCTGCTGGCTGGGCGGGCGGCGATCCGGGCTGCAGCCCCACCGCTCTGTTCCTCTCCTGCCGGCCTGCAGAGGAACGGCGGCCGCGGAGGGCCGGGTTCGCGTCGGGCTCGCGGAGCGGCCGCCGCCCTTTGCGGATGCGCCATGCGGACGAGCTGGTCAAGTCGTGCGCTCGGGCTGCTGGCGCCGATCGCTCCTTCGCGGCAGCGTCTCGGCGGCCCCTTCACCATCGCTGCCCCGGGCCGGTGATGCGGCGGCAGGGGAAGGAGCGGCGGCGGCTTCTCCCGAGGGCCGACTGGGCCCCCGGCCGCCGCCTCGCCATGCCCACAACATGGCTGGCGGGGGCGCGTCTCGCTCGTGAGCGGACCGTGCTCCGCGCGTCTGCGGCTCACGAGAGCGCGTTCGCCTCCCGCCCGTGCGGCGCTGAGAGGAGCGCCCGCCCGCCAGCCAGCCAGCCCGCGGGGGAAGTCGCGCGGAGCGGCGGGGATGCGCAGCGCCCCGCCCCGCCGGCGCCCTTCCGCGCAGGTGACGTGTGCGTGTTGCCCGGCCGCGAGCGAGGAGGGCGCTCCTCGTGGGGCGGGCGAGCCCTTCCGCCGCGCTGCCCCCTTCCGCTGCTCGGATGCTCGGCGGATGGGCGTAGCGCCGGGCGCGCTGGCTGGCAGGGCGGCCGTCGGGCGATGCCTGGGTGGGCGGGCTGCTAACGGCGGCGGCAAAATGGGCCGTCCCTGGCCACGGCGGGCTGCCCTGGGGGAGCGCCGGCGCTGGATGGCCGGAGGCCTGCCGGCCAGAGGGCGTGAGGGGCCGCCGTGCCCTGCCGCTGAGGCACCCTTCCGAGCCCAGTCGGGGCTGCCCGTGACTTGCCGCTGCGCTCTGCGACTGCCTCCACAGCCCTTGGCCAGGGCTGGGGGACCCACTTAAAGGGAGTGAGCCTTGTGCTTCCTCGCTGCAGCCCCAACCTGGCCTTAGCCCCACTTTTGCATACCTGCACAACTGTAAGCTGGTCTCAGGTACACCCCCGAGCTGAAATAGGGGGGGATGTGTGCCAGGCCCTCTGCGGGGAGCTCCAAGCAGTGTGTCTGTGTGGCCCCTCCTGCCCTTACAGCAACCCTGCAAGGTCGGGCAGACTGTGGGATTGGACTTTCCAAAGTCTCCGTGAGCCCTGAGATTCAGGAGGGATTGGCACTTGAGGCACTCTCTTTACTGCATGGTTGATCATTCCCCAACCTCTGCCCTACCCAGCATGGTTAACAGGAGCATTGGAAGTTGTTCTCCAAAACATCCGAAGAGCACCAGATTAAGCAAGGCTGTTCTAGACTGTCCAGTTTTTTCCTGCTTTGCTTTTTAGCGGGGGGGGGGGGGGCAGTTTGTCAGGGTTGGTTTTGTGTGAAAGATGGCAAGAGGGAGTGGACTTTTGAGTGTGGGCACATGGGAGTGTGGGACTGTGAAGGTTAAGCAACCAGCACAGGGGAGCTGGCCTGTTCCTCCTCCCTTTAGGGTGGGGCACAATATACCCCAAGGTGCGCCACCCCATGAGCAGCTCCTGCCTGGCCCCCTCCTAGGTTCTTTTCCCTCTGTCCCCACCATTGAGCACGGGTATCCGTTAAGCACGGCCTCCTCTTCTGCAAGGACTGGGTGGCAACAGCAGTCGCTTCTTGAGCTGCTTGCTCCAGGCCTTCCTGAGCTTCGCATGCCATGCTTTCCCTGGCCTGACCTTGTGCCCATCTTCTTGCAGCTGTCCTGGATAATGAGAGGATGACAGCCGAAGAGATGGATGAGCGAAGACGGCAGAATGTGGCCTATGAATATCTCTGCCACCTGGAGGAAGCCAAGAGGTAAGATCCCTGGGAAGGGGGATGTGTAAGGGCACCACAACATCCACGGAAGAATGTTCTGGCACAGTGTAAGAGATTTCCCTGGTGTGTTTTCTTGCCTGATGTGCCGATTAGAAAATGTGCGCGCTGTGGCTGCAGACCAGTTATGCCATTTTCCTGTCTGTCACCATTGTCTCTAAGATTTTGCTACTTTCACTGGCAGCTCCCATTTATTTTTTTATAGCTTTTGTATGCCGTCCTATTGTACAAGATCTCAATTACTTTTTTCAGGGTTTTTTATTCTCCTTCTGCTTGAAATTTAGCCTCTCTGCCGTCATACTTGCCCTTGCCCTTGCCCTTTCCTCTGCAGTGTGAGGGTAAAACTGAAGCTTGTGCCATTATTTAGAGGTTATATGGTTGAAAATCCTTAGCTTTAGATCTGACAAAACCTACACAACTTCTTGCAGTGCTTATCTTCCATTGGGAGCACAATCTGGGTGCATGATCAAGAGGAAAAATAAGCAGTGTGATTGCTCAACCACTACCAAATCAGATTTGAGGATTTGTACTGCATTTCTTATAAATGGTGAAGGTTTGATTCAGTTGAGCTGAATAAACCTGTTACAAAGGCAAGTCTAGGCAAGTTTACTCATAAAGTGTGTGGAAACGGTAGTTGGTGTGAAATGTGGCCAGAAACATTTCAGGTGTCTGCTTTTGGGATCTTATTATGCTAACCCTGTTCCATTTGTACGGGCTTCCTTTCTGTTTCCATGCTCAGTTTGAGGTGCTGGTTGTCACAACACCTTAAATGGCTCTGGAGCAGTTTATCTGAAGGTCTCCCGCCTCCCACACAAACTATCCATCTGTTGCCATGGTCCTCACGGGCCCTGTTCTGTATTTCATTTCTCAGTGAAGGGGTAATGCAGGTTTGGGAATTCTTGGTGCTAGCGCCTCAGTTGTACCGTGCCCTCCTGAGGGAGTTTGGCTGTCCCCTTGGTTGCTAGTCCTAAGCAGGCTGTCAAGAAGCTTTATTTCTTTGGGCTTTTGGTAGGTTTTCACTGGATGTGAGTGGCACTGGCTTCACTTTTGCCTCTTTCCATGTTGCTTTGAGTGTTCTCAATGTTTATGGCATCAGGAGTATGTTTTTATTGTTGTAAACTGCCTTGGGACTTTTTTGTAGGGAGGGAGGGTGAAAGGCAGTATATGAATACTGCTATTAAATGAAGGAAACGCGGGACTAACAATCAACTTGTTTCTCCTGCTGGTTTGCGCGCTCCACCTTGTTTCTTCCATAAACAGTCCATCATGTTATCCCAGTGTAGAGAACCAGCTGCAGCATGTCCTGTCGGGTGGGGAGGGTGACTCTTCCACCCACCTGAGAGGTCCCTTTGAAGGTGCTCCCCCTCCTTATGTTGTCAGGAAGTCCTTCCTGCAGGGTGGGGGCCATGGGGAGGCAGAGCATCCAGGAGACCTTTTCTGTCCGACTTGCAAATATGGTCAGCTCCAGCTCTTCTGAGTCTCCAGCATCAGATATTTGCATAACAAGCAGGCATCCATGAAGCCAGTGGCTTGTAAAATACTCTCTTTGCAAATATTCTCTTGCTAAGTTTTGTCTTGGAACACAGGAGTTCTTTTACTGCATCAGACTACACATCTGTCTAGCTAGTCTTGCCTCTTCGACCATGCCCGCCAGAGCTTCTGCAGGACCGTTTCTCGCCCCTACCTGAAAGTACTGCTGGGAATTAAATCTGGCCCCTTCCATGTGAAAGCAGGCATTCCGAGTGAGGCCTTGCAGGGTACCCGTGAGCACCTGAGCCTTGCGTCCTTAGTTTACTGGGAGCTGAGTGAGCTGAGAGTCAGAGTTCAAGACCTGAGTAAGAACGCCGGTCTCCCCTCAGTGCCACTGGGCTGATGTGGTGGAAGAGGGTTGCTCAGCATTTTGCTTTCCAAATACTCCTTTGATTAGAAAAGCATAAAGGAAAAAAGGCTCCTTTGCACCGGTGGAGAGGATTTTGGGAAGTGCTGGTCCCAGTCCAGCTCAGGAGCCCATGCTCTTATTCTACAGCCAGGCTGGGCAACACAGTGACTGTACTCCCCCTCCCTTGCCTTTTTTGCAGCCCCCTGCTTCCCCCAGTGCTGAGCAGTTAACATTTGGCAGCAAGGTATTGATGGTGGGCAACCTCTGTCTGTAAGTAGAAATTCACAGTTTGCTGCCAAAATTGGGTGGCACAGAAGATGCAAAAGTGGACTGCACTAAACGAAATAGTTCTTTTTTCCCCTTCTGCTGTGCCACTGACTTTTGGGAGAGGGACAGGTGTGCCCCGCAAATGCTGGAAAGTTCCTGCCCTTGCTTTAGAATAATGTAAGAGGGAGTGCTGTATTCCTTAGAGCAAAGGAATGCTGGAGCTAAAAGATCAAAGAAAAATGGTGGTGAACAATAGCGGTGAAGACATCGTTACTGTAAAGCAAGGCATTTTTTTTATCTTGGAAAAGTCCTTCTTAAAAAAGAAAGAATGGAAATGAATTGCCTCAGAATTATTGGAGTGCTACCAATCTCATATACCTCCCAAACAATAAGTTTTACAAACCACTTACATATGTAGCAAGTGATTAGGAAAAGCTGCACCTATTGAATTTCATACCTATTGGTGTGTTGAATTTCTGTCTCAATCCAAACTGGACCAATATCAATTTTTATACAGAATTTAAAATCCTTACTTGGTGCATGATAACCAATCCCTTCTGCTGCAAGAAGCAGTTAGACAACCCACAGACCTCAAGATAATGGCCTGGGATCCAAGGCTGTCAGGATAATCTGCATTTACCTAAGGAATTCTGGGAAGTGAGAGGAGGTCACTGCAAACAGCAAAGAAGTCAGCTTTATGCTCACTGGCTCAAGTCAGCAGTCCGCATGCCCAGCTGCATGGAAGAATCAGTAAACGGACCCTTTTCCCTTCTTCTGTAGCATCAGAGGTTGGAAAGGAGCCTCTTGTGGGAGTGACCTGCACAGGGTGGGCAGGGTTTGTGTTCCTGCCTGAGACTAACATGGGGTGCACCTGCAGTGAATACACACTGGTTGCATTATGAGAAGAAAAGTGGGAGAGCTTGAACAGTGAGTGCCCACCCTCCAAGGAGTAAGAGGAAGTGAAAAGTTCCTAGACAAAACCGGGGTAAATGCAGGAACACCAAGAACCACCAGAGATGGAAGAGCAGCGACAGTTTGAAGCAAGTACAAAGAATGCTGAGCTGAGGGAAGCCCAAGAAGAGGAAACGTGATGGAGAAGGGCAGCAGTCAGGAGCAGAAGAATCAGAAGTTGTTCTTCGCTGGTGGAACCACTAGAGTAGAAGCAAAAATGGGGCATAGCCATGCACGAATTTGGGAAGGCTGATTTGAATAAACTCAAGACAATGAGAAGCAAGATCCCATGGCAAGTGACCCTAAGGAAAAGAGGCGTCCAAGTAGGGTGGAGGGTTTTTAAAGGAAATTTTAAAGATATGCAATAAGAATTCCAACAAAAATGAAAGAAACCAGACAACAGAAGAAGCAAATGTGACTCCACAAAATTTTGAGTTGACCTAAAGCAGTCAGTCTGCAAACACCTTTTATTTTTATTTATGTTTATGTTTACACTTGTGTGCCACCAGCTATTCTGACAAGGATCTCTAGGTGGCTTACAACAGTAATCAAAACACAGATCTTAAAATCAATGAAACAGTAAAAACATCATAATAAAACAGCAACAATATCATAGTGGCTATTTAAAACCAATGGTGGGTTAAAAAGGCAAATGTATATGTCAATAGCGTTGAATGAGTTAAAATCAGTTGTTAAAATACCTAGTAAAGATAAATGTTTTCTCCTGGTGCTGAAAAGAGAATGGCATTGGTGCAAGACACCATTCTGGGGAGCCTTTTCCATAAATGGGGAGGCTTCTCAACCTTTTGGCTAAGATCAAGTGTGTAGTATACAACTGTTGTTATATGGGCCCATGAACTGATGCCTGTTACTAAATGCGGGGCCCGTTTGGGACCAGCTGAATTTGCTGTACCATCTGGAAAGGCTGCCCCACATCAAGTGCATTGTAGTAGTCTAATCTGGATGTTACCAGAGCATGAATAAATGTGGCCAGGCTCCGTCTAACTAGGGACGGGCAAAGCTGATACATTAGCTGCAGATGAAGGAAGGCGCCCCAGGCCACCTGGGCCTCCAGAGATAGTCCTGGGTCCCGCAGCATCCTTAAGCTGATAACCTTGCCTTTTAGGGGGAGTGTAGCCCCATCTAGGACAAGGTACAAAGCCCTAAACGGCTTGGGTCCTGGCTACCTGAACGAGCGCTTACGTCCGTATATGCCCGACCGCCCTTTGAGATCTGCGGGAGAGTCCCTTCTCCGGGAACCCTCCATGAAAGAAATTAGGAGAGTAAGTACCCGGAGGAGGGCTTTCTCTGCGGTGGCGCCCAACCTATGGAATTCACTCCCCAAAGAGGTCCGCCTGGCACCGTCGTTACTGGTTTTTCGGCGCCAGGTAAAGACCTTTTTATTTAAACATCATTTCAATTGTTAAAACATATGATCTGGCCGGGGCAACTTCTTCTTCCTTCTCTTTCTCCTCCTATATTTTTATTTTATACTGTTAATTTTAATTTTGTATTTGTAAATCAATGTATTTTTTTGTATTTTTATATTTAATGGTAATTTATTATGTACTATTGTATTTCAATGTATTTTATCATGTTGTAAGCCGCCCCGAGGTTTCGGCAAGGGGCGGCATAGAAATGTTATAATAATAATAATAATAATAATAATAATAATAATAATAATAATAAAAAGGTAGTGGCACTCCCATCTGTCAGACAATCCATTCTCCAGCAGCACTTCCATCTTGCCTGGACTGAGTTTCTATTTACTGACCCTCATCCACTCCATTATTGAGCTCAGACACAGGTTCAGCACAGAGATGGCCTCACCTAGTTTAGATGTAAACCAGAGGTAGAAGTTTTGTTTTTGTTTTCATTTTTTCAA